TCTGTCTGTCTGTCTGTCTGTCCGTCTGTCTGTCCTTCTGTCTGTCCGTCTGTCTGTCCGTCACACTTTTTGGGACACAATAACTTTCTTCCTAATTGAGCTAGAATGTTCAAACTTGGTGTATGTGTTTATTAGGTCAATGCCTTGATGGAGTTCGAAGATGAGCATTTTCCGCTTAGGGTAAGCGGAGATAAGCAATTTGATTGGTTGATGCTTTGGGACACGATAACTCTCTTCCTAATTGGGCTAGAATGTTCAAACTTGGTGTATGTGTTGATTAGGTCAATGCCTTGATGGAGTTCGAAGATGAGCATTTTCCGCTTAGGGTAAGCAGAGATAAGCAATTTGATTGGTTGATGCTTTGGGACACGATAACTTTTAATTGAGCTAGAATGTTCAAACTTGGTGTATGTGTTTATTAGGTCAATGCCTTGATGGAGTTCGAAGATGAGCATTTTCCGCTTAGGGTAAGCAGAGATAAGCAATTTGATTGGTTGATACTTTGGGGCACGATAACTCTCTTCCTAATTGAGCTAGAATGTTCAAACGTGGTGTATGTGTTGATTAGGTCAATGCCTTGATGGAGTTCGAAGATGAGCATTTTCCGCTTAGGGTAAGCAGAGATAAGCAATTTGATTGGTTGATACTTTGGGGCACGATAACTCTCTTCCTAATTGAGCTAGAATGTTCAAACTTGGTGTATGTGTTGATTAGGTCAATGTCTTGATGGAGTTCGAAGATGAGCATTTTCCGCTTAGGGTAAGCAGAGATAAGCAATTTGATTGGTTGATGCTTTGGGACACGATAACTTTAGTTCTAATTAAGTGAGATTGATGAAACTTGGTGTATAGTTTCATTACAGTAATACCTTGACTAAGTTTGATAATGAGCATTTTCTGCTCAGGGTAAGCAGAGCGATACGCAATTTGATTGGTCGAGACTTTGGAAAACAATAACTCTCCTACTTTGATTGTCCCCCGCCTTTCGAAGAAAGCAGGGAACTATTAAAATGGGTTCGTCCGTCTGTCTGTTTGTCTGTCTGTCCGTTCCGCTTATGGTAAGCAGAAAAAACAAATTGAAAAAGAAACTATTATAAATTAATTAAATATGTAGTATGCAATAATGAATTGACATTTAATGACAGAAAGAAAACAGTGAACTTTGCACAACTTGCAGCAAGATGGAAAATAGACCCGTTGATACAACCAAACTCTAGATCTGTAGGCATAGAGCATGTTTTCCCCTTAATATGCTATAATTATTCCATCAAAAACATTGTATGCTTAGACTATAAGTAAATATATACTGTTTGATTGTTCAATACTTTGTAAAAGATAATTTGTGATAAATTTATATGTGTCCTCTAATTATTTTCCTATTTCGGCGGGGGACATCAGCCTCACTGTTGGCTTGTTTGGCATTTAACCTGCTGTGTGTAAAAACTAATACAAGTTTGTAGCTTGGTGTGGGAGTGTGGGGATTGGGGATCTTGAAATACTGAATTAGTCTTATTCTTCTGACATTTATTGGTCAAGAAAGGCTACAATCATGCATTCTGAATCTTGGTTTACTTGTGATACTGGATTAAATTTCACACTGATTATGAAAACATAACATATTTATCTCATATTGATTTAAAGATCTGTATTTAAACATTGAAACCTTGGATATCTTAAAATAGAAATAACAATAACTTGTATCGGAACCCACCCCCCTTATTGTACACATTTCCACAGAAAAGACACACAATGTTACTGACCTGAGAACAGAATACCAGTAAAATTGGGCTCCCCCAGTTCCTCCCCAGCACCATTTTGGGAGTTTAAAATAGTTTTTGGTTTCTCATGCTTAACAGGGTTTACATAGATAATTGGTGAGCTTGAATTATTTTACTTATGTTTTGTTTTATATTTCTTGAGATAATACGCTTACTTGAATCTTGAATTATTTTATTAAAGTTTTGTTTTATATTTCTTGAGATAATACGCTTATTTGAGCCATCTAAATATAAATATAGTTATCATTCAGAAGCTGTATAGAAAGTCATTATATCAACACACGTGGATAAAGTAGAAATAACGAGGCTTTGTGTTGATATTTTTTGATATCAAAAAAGACTTGTAGGACATTCTTTATATATAATATAGTAATTTCATTTTTCATGTTTGTATTGTAAAATAACATTATGAAGAGTGTTTGTGAATGGTGTGCTATGGAATGATTTATCAGTAATCACCCTCTTAACCCATAAGTGCATAGCTACGGCCTACGCCGTAGAGTAAACAAAGGCTGAAATTGCATGGCTACGGAATTTCCCTTATCGTTTTTAACAGTTTGAATTTACAGTGCTAAAGGTGGTTCCATGGGAAATCCCCTTGTGACGCCATTGTCTAAATCCAGCATGTTTTGAGTAAAATTTCTGTAACTTTTCGTGAATTTTCGCCAAATTAAAGACATGATTTGTACAGGATCCCATTCATAGTTGCTAAGGCATACTGTGTGAGTTGGATTACGCTAGAGTAAACAAAGGCTGAAATTGCATGGCTACGGAATTTCCCTTATCGTTTTTAACAGTTTGAATTTACCGCACTAAAGGTGGTTCCATGGAAAATCCCCTTGTGACGCCATTGTCTAAATCCAGCATGTTTTGAGTAAAATTTCTGTAACTTTTCGCGAATTTTCGCCGATTTAAAACATGATTGTACAGGATCCCATTCATAGTTGCTAAGGCATACTGTGTGAGTTGGATTACGCTACAGAGTGTGTATTTTTGTAGGTTTTTTTTTACGCAAAATAGCGTTTTTTTGTCCAGTTTTTTGCTTCACATAGAAATCGTAGATATTTGTGCTGCAGTTCAGTGTGTTTGATCATAATCTATGGTTTGATGAGTGTACAAAATGTAGTAGTGACTCGGATGATAATGTCGCCTGTCTAACCTCGTGGGTTTTCTTCTGGTCCTCCGGTTTCCTCCAACTGCTGTTGTAAAGTTATTGAATATTTTCAAAAAAAAATTCTGTATTGTGTACCAAAGAGATGCCTCTGAAAGCAGCATACTTCATTTCTAACATTTTGCATCAATAAATATTTTTTATTGCACTCAGAAGTGGGAACTTTTTTTCTTTTTTTTCCTGATTTCAAGTTGTCAATTCTACCTCCATCTACATTCAAGTAAAAAATATTTCCCTTATTTTCTTTACAGATTCAGAAAGCCCTTTTTATACTCTTTCTAAATATATATACTTTGTAGGGCACCAATTTCCGTCGCAATACCAGAAATTAGGCTTATGCACGAAAGGGGTTTGGGAACAAAAAATGGTTATGCACTTATGGGTTAACTGGTTCACTGTTTTGGTTAACATCAGTGTGATCTAGCAAAAATTGGTGTTATCTGAGGCAATTTGTTTAGTTTTTACCCCAGTACCATAAATATTAGAATTTATAAACGTCTAACTGACAATTTTCAGTTAAAGAGTCAACCATACAGATATTGTCATGCATTTATAATCCTCCTCTATATAAATAAAACTGTGTTCATTTCAACTTAAAGCTTACAGATATACATTCCCACGAAAGTATTTATAGAGTAGTTATTTCCAATAAATGTATGGCATATTTGGTATATATGGAAAGTAGAGGTGCTCAATCTTACTAGGTTGAAAAATACAGAATTCCCTGAAAAACACCCATGGGGCACCCTCAAGACAATAATGTGTAGGTGTCACTAACTGGCTGCTTGTCTGTTTGCGTGCAGCAAGGAGCGCTTCATATGTGTTGTTCTAATGTGAGAACATTGAGAGGTTTAAACATCCAGTAGTAACTGCGATTAAACAGTGAAAAAAGAAGTTGGCAGAGGATAATTCAAGAATTTACTAAGCTTCGATATTTATGGGACATGAACTGTGACTAATGACAGATACAAGCTGGAAATAAATTTTTCCTCAAAATAAAGTCATGTAACAAACAAGACGGTTTAAGATAGATTCTTGCAGCATGGGATACTTTTCTTGCGATTATAATGTTTTGTGAGGGATTTTATACAGAAACTTCTGACAGATAAATTTGTTAGAATATCTTTTTAGTCCAAATATATCATCAAATCACAGAGTTTGTATGTGGTAAGGCATCCTTAAATAAATATCTTAGATAAATGAAAGTGTTAATATCTCCTATATGTTTTCATTTAATACCTTAGTACAGTTATTTTAATACAATATTGCAAAACAAAATGAAACATATTGATTTTCAACACTTGGAGTGATTCTATGAATGATGTGCAGTGTACAAATGTGATAAAATGAAACAGGAAATGAAATCTCTCAGAATGTTAAGAGTCAAAAATTTTAATATCATTCCTATTACGACAAAGTTATTTCTTGTCTGCTAAAGCATTCAACTTTTTTTCTTGCTTGTTGCACGACCACAGTTGTCGAATATGATTAAGATATAATTTTGTACACACAAACCTCATTTTTTCTAAGATATTTTAAAGATATACTAGGTTGCCAGGCAACGAAACGTACGCCCACAGCAGCTAAATCTTCTGAGCGGTCGACAAGGGTTGTCACATATTTATTCTTTTGTAGGTAATTGGGGGCATTTATAAGACAGCTTCATACAGATCAGATTTTAATTTTTGTCATTTGAGGGTTCACAAGGTTCTACAAACTGAAACAAGGGCCTTAACTCTGGAAGTAATTTATAGCAAATTTTGAAATTTGACAGGCTTTTTCATTTTACTAATTTAAATAATTTAATCAATTTCATACAGATCAGATGAAATTTTTGCCATATATATATATATTAGCACAACCATAAAGCTGCTATATATATAATATATATATATGTATATATGTGGAACCAGGTGGTTCTGTAATGTCTGACTCCTGGATATGTGAAATTTCATGTCATTTCTTCCAGATGACAAGATCAAGATTATTCGATGTGATGGCATATGTGGACTGTATATTTAATAACATTGCATGGCTTTTTTTTTATTATAGGCCAAAGATGTTGGTAAATATGCTTTAATTGGAGCAGCATCTATGTTAGGTGGTATTTTGCGAACAACTATAAGTTTAACAGTTATAATAGTAGAATGTACAGGAGATATTTCTTTTGGCCTTCCTATTATGTTAACACTAATGATATCGAAGTGGGTTGGTGACTTTTTTACTACAGTAAGTAACTATTTATATTTTTATACGCCCACATTTTCATGTGGACGTATATTGTCGTCACCCCTGTCCGTCAGGACGTCCGTCCACAATTGTTTGTGGACACTCTACAGGTCACAATTTTTATCCGGTTTCAACGAAACTTGAAATATAGGTTTATCTCCCTAAGATCTTGGCTCCATTCGATATTGGCATGTTTCGAATCGTAACTTCATGGATTATTGTGCCTGATTGTATGAAAAATCGCGTTTTTAGCTTGTGGACCCACCCTATAGAGGTAACAATTTTTATCCGATTTTGTTGAAACTTGAAATGTAAGTTTATAATCCAAAGATCTCGGTTCCTTTCGATATTCGCGCATATCGAACCGTAACTTCCTGAATTATGGCCCCAGATTGTACGAAAAATCGTGTTTTTAGCTTGTGGACCCTATAAAGGTCATAATTTTTATGAGATTTAAAAAAACGTTTTAGTATATCACCGTTACACCTTAAGGATGGTTGAGTTCAAATTTCGTGAAAATCGGACCAAAATGGCTGCCCCTCGTACTCAAATAGTGTAAAATTATGGTATATCAATGTTGTGGACCCCTAGAGGTCACAATTTTATTCTGATTTTGATGAAACTTGAAATTTAAGTTTATAACCCAAAGATCTTGGTTCCTTTCGATATTAGCGCATATCGGATAGTAACTTCCTGAATTATGGCCCCTGATTGTACGAAAAATTGCGTTTTTAGCTTGAGGTTCCTCTCGATGTCACAATTATTATCCGATATAAAAAAACATTCAAATATATCACTGTTACACCGTAATTTTGGTTGAGTTCAAATTTTGTGAAAATCGGGCCAATACTGCCGGACAAAATGGCCGACCCTCGTATGCAAATAGTGTATAGCATTTTTATCAGATTTAAAAAAACGTTTTAATATATCACCGTTACACCCTAAGGATGGTTGAGTTCCAATTTCGTGAAAATCGGACCAAAACTGACAGACAAAATGGCTGCCCCTCGTACTCAAATAGTGTAAAATTATGGTATATCAATGTTGTGGACCCTCTAGAGGTCACAATTTTGATCTGATTTTGATCAAACTTGAAATGCATGTTTATAACCCAAAGATCTTGGTTCCTTTCGATATTCAGGCATATTGGGTAGTAACTTCCTTAATTAAGGCTCCTGATTGTATGAAAAATCATGTTTTTAGCTTGTTGTAGAGGTCACAATTTTTATCCGATTTAAAAAAAACATAACGTGAAAATATCACCATTACACACTAAGATCTTGGTTCCTTTTGATAATCGCTATATCCGAACGTAACTTTCCCTGGATTATGGCTCCTGATTGTTCGAAAAATCACATTTTTAGCTTGCGGAGTCTCTAGAGGTCACAATTTTTTTTCCCGATTTTAAAGACATATTTCACTATTCCACCATAATGAAGGTTGGATTAAATTTTGGGAATGAAACTGCCCAACAAAATGGCCGCTCTTTGTACACAAATTGTGTAAAAGTATGCAGTACGAAGGTTGTGGAGTGTGGACCCTTTAGAGGTGAAACTTAAAACAGATCTTTATATCCCAAAGTTCTCAGTCTCTTTTGATATTTGCGCATTTCAGACCATAACTTTCTGGATTATTGCCCCTGATTGTACAAAAAATCCCGTTTGTTTTTAGCTTGTTCTCCATCCATCTCTTGCGAAATGTGGGTGTATCCTGCCTGGCAGCCGCTGGTTTTTCAAGATAAGACATGAATATTTTGGGACTAAAGTTTTTGATGAAAGGGACCACAAGAGACCTCACTTTAAATTGGTAGTTCTATTTTTGAAGGAGGGTTTTGCAACTTACACTATGGATTGCAGTCACAAATCCCGATCTTTGGTAATCTTTGACAGAAATATACTTCCCCTTTATCATGGGAAAATCATATTAGGTCAAACAAACTGTGTTTCAGATTTACATTCATATTGGCATTGCAAAACATAATTAAATTTCAGATTGGAATGTTATGTAAAGTTATTTTATTCATAATTTTTATAGGGTTTATATGATATGAATGTAGAAGTGAGTGGTATACCATTATTGTCATGGGAACCTCCACCACTTTGTGAAAATATTAAAGCCAGGTTGGTATATGATTCCCTTTTTTGCATACATTTACTGTAAACATTCAACAAAAAATATTATATGCTTAATTATGAACTTTTAAATAGCAAAATAATCTACAACAGATTCCATCTTTTTAAAAAAGAGACCATACAAACTAGGATTTTGGGATGGGCAGGAGCATTCCATATCATTAAAGGTTTATTTAACAAGAGTTGAAAAATAGCATTTGACATAGAGCTTATTGATATGTAATTTGTAATGCATTCATATTTACAGTGAGGTTATGAGTCAACCTGTTTTATCATTACATACAGAAGAAAAAGTGGGATCTATTTTAGAAATATTAGAATCAGAAACTTATGGTGGTTTTCCTGTTGTTGAAACTAATCCAAAGGTATTAGACGGTTTTTAGTTTAAATGATAAATTTTCTTCGTAAACCTGTTCTTTTCTCAGAAAGTTAAAATGTCATCAATGTAAAGAAAATCCAGATATATGTGTGACAAACTGTAAGACTATGCAGTGCTATGCAGTCGCTGGTTAGATGTGGAAAATATGCCGGGAGAACTCCCCACATCCAACGTGTGATGCATACTCTCTTTTCTTCTAATCTTCTTCCAGGTTACTCGATCTCGTAGTCACGTGCACCAAATCGAATATGTAGCACCATGGGCCTTTCTGTCAGACGTGGAGAGCGGGAGATGTCAGACCGGTCGCCACATCATACGTACGACCCATGCATCTTTTCTTACTACATATTTCTGTAGCTTTGTGGTCATCTAGAATTTGCCTCTAGCTGTCTTTACTTCTGCTTCACGTTGTGTGTTCTTACTGGTTTATTAAGACGTTTGTCCTCTATATATCATATAGCTGCTTACAGATGGTACATTGCACAGTACATATTACAATATTAACTAGTTATTCTTGTGTAATTAACAAAATGATTGGTTAAATTAAACCAAATGATGCAATGGTAAATTTCCATGCACGTGATATCTCGTGGTATTTTATAGACACATGTTTTGGCTAAATAACTCTTTTTATGTGTCAACTGTCAATTACAGACTAAGTTGATTTAGTACGCACTATATATAATATATATGTGAATATGTGTGAAACTATTAATTTGCCAAATATATTAATTAATGAAATATAAAGTCATCTTATTTCTCTATTCTTTGTCTATAAATTTAAAAACAATGTCGCAATGACTATATTGCTACAAAACATGTGATTTATTCATTTTCTGTGGTTAAATGTGCTAGTTGTATAATATGGGGAGGAGAGAGAGAGAAATGGGGTTTAACGTCCACTCGACACAAACTAGGTCATTTCGGGACTAACATATGGTTTAATTTTATTTACATAATTCGCTTGCGCGTAGGGGTCTTTAGCAGTGGGAGGAAACCGGAGGACCCGGAGAAAACCCACGAGGTTGGACAGGCGACCCTACTCCTTGCCACGTACAACCGGGGATTCGAAACCACGCCAATCGACTCAATGACAGGCTTTATGATATACCGCGCGCACGCTAACCATTCAGCCATCCAACCCCCCTAATATGAGGAGGGAGTAGTGTTTCAACCTAACAGTGCTCTTTTCATATTCCAACTGTCAAATCTCTTTTCTTGACAGTCATGCAGGTGTTATAATTGGGAACTAATCTTGAGATATTCTGAATTTGAAACTGTGGCACTAATGCATAACTACCACACTACTGGCAAATATAGAACTCAATCATGTCATATTATGGAACTTAGAAGGTCCATGGTCATATCTAAACTTAGTTAGCTTTTTAAACCATGGACCTAAAATTTATTGATATTATTTGTTTTATTTACAGTATCGTCAATATTATAGTGGTAAATTGAAAGGACTCATTTTAAAAAATCAGTTATTAGTTTTACTAAAGAAAAAGGTAAGTCATCAAAGATAAATTACAGGAGATTAGATAAGGAGCTGGTAGTTCTTGCTATAATAGTTTAAAACTAGATAATGTAAAGGGAATTTGCTGAAAATTTCAGTCAAATTGATCCACCCTGAACTGAGTATTTTGCGATTGAATTTTGGGCCTAGCCTTGATCATCATTACTAAAGTCGGTATGCTAAAAAACATAGTCTCAATTATCCATTTTTTGATTTAACAGAAGCGGCAGACCGAGTTCTAATCCAGTAAATATCGCAGACTAGCGATGCCATCGAGATTTGATTATGGTCTAGATAATTAATTAATGTTTAATTAATAATTTAGATAACATTTCAGGCCTAAAGAAAGACCAGCAAATGGCAGATTTAGCTTTTGCAAAATATATATGTATGTTTAAGTTTATTAGGACAAAAACATGTTATCCTTTCTTTCAGCCATGCACAATTTAGAAAACAATAATTGGTTATTTTTAATATATGCACAGTAGTGTGGAGATTTTAAATTATTGGCTCAAAAATCATGTTTCAGATTTTTGCTCCAGAAGGTATGCTTCCACCAGAAGCCAATATAAGATGTAAAGATTTTGATAATCCTTATCCAGTAGGACAAAGACTTACATTAAAGGTAATATATATATTATATATATTTTACAAAGACACTGTTATTTTTTATCTCCAAAATAATAACCATCCATGTGAGACTAAATACTAAAACAAGAAGCCAACAGTAAGGCTGATGTCCGCCTCCGAAATTCCAAAATAAATAGATAGTAGATATTAATTAATTGCACAATATTTTATCGTTTTCAAAAGTATCGAGCAATCAAACTGATTTATCTATACTTAGTCTAAGCATAAAATGTTCATGATCAAACTCAGTCAAGGTTTTGGAATACTATACACTAAGTTTCATCGCTCTCCATCAGTTAGAATCAAAGTTATCTTATCGCAAAGCATCAACCAATGAAATTGCTTATCTCTACTTAGCTTTAGTAGAAAATATTAATCATTGAACTCAAAACATCACTTAATAAACATTTACCCCAAGTTGTTATGTTCCGAAGTCTTGACCAATCAAATTGCTTATCGCCTAGCCTAAGCCGAAAATTTTCATCATTGAACTTAGTTATGGTATTGATATAATGATATAATGAAGTATGCTCGGAGTATCATCGCTCTCACTCAATTAGAACCAAAGTTATCATGTTCCAAAGGCTTGACCAATCAAATTGCCGATGACTGCTTAGCCTTAGTGGAAAATGCGCATGATCGAACTCTGTCAAGGCATTCACCTAATAGACAGGTACACCAAGTTTGAGCATTCTACCTCAATTTAAAGGAGAGTTATTATGTTCCAAATTCTCGACCAACCAGATTGAAGTCTCTGTACTTTGCTTAGCTTCCAGTAAAATACAGATATATATTTGGTTTTGTTTTTTTATATGTTCGATGGCCTACACTACATGAAGATCTGACCGGTTGTATTGGAAGGTCAAGTCAGGGGTCATACAAGTGGCTTTTGACCCTATGATGTCAGACATTGATTAATCAATCAGCGTTGACGTTTCTAGTGGTTTACCCACAGTTCTGTGCATTGCAAGAACTTGCTGTAACAGACCATTTCATTGGCTAATCCCTCACTTCAACCAGAATGCTGGTAATATAACAACTCTTCCAGATCCTCTTGAAGTAAAATGAAATTTTGAACTATCAAAAACAAAACGAAATAGGATCTGTATTTTAATCAGATTGCTCAGCATCAACTTTGTTAAGGTTTTGATGTAAAGAAACTAAACATAAAGTTTCACCACTATCTCTCAATTAGAATCAAAGTTAACGAGCTCCAAAGTATCAATCAATCAAAATGCTTATTGCTCTGCTTAGCCGAAAATGCTCATTATTGAACTTACGTCAAGGTATTGATGTGATGAAACTAGACATCAAGTTTCATCACTTTCACTTAATTAGAATCAAAGTTATCGTGTGCCAATCAAATTGCTTATCTCTGCTTACCCTAAGCAGAAAATGCTCATCTTCGCACTCTATAAACGCCTACATTCTAGCTCAATTAGAAGGAGAGTTATTGTGTCCCAAAAAGTGTGACAGATAGACAGATGGACAGGCTGACACATTTTAATAGTCCCCTGCTTCCTATGAAAGGCCGGGGACAAGTTGAGTATCGGGGAAATATCTGACAATGTACTTACTGCATAAGAAGTGATACCCTGGATCCCTTTTTTCAAACAAAAATAGTTTTTTTCGTCTAATTTTAGTGAAAAAAAAATCAATCTTTCCAATTTCGGAAATTTCCATGTCTAGCCAGGGTCCTTTGTCTCACCGCAAGTTCTTCATTCCCAAATTAATAATTCTTAAAAGTAATTTGCACATTTAATGGGCAAGTAAATTATACTCCTTTGTTTGATCTTGGTATAGGCTTTACATTGGAGTTTTTCTGGCAAAAAGCACATTAAGGGGAGGTAACTCTTTGTGGAACTCCCACTGCACTTTCTTTCACAATCACTGTTTGACAGGCATTATTATCGTTTACTATTTATTAAAGGATATTGAAGTAACAGAGGAAGAGAAAGAACATTTGATTGATCTGAAGCCCTACATGAATTTCAGCCCTTATACAGTTGGACCAGTAATTATAGATTTAAATATTATTAATGTATATAGGCTAATCTTCACTATGTACTAAAACAAATAATACTGTTATGAAAATATTAAAATATCTGTAAAAAAACTCCAATAAACAATATTTATGGACACTGTAATCATTGCATATCAACAATATATTTTTAACAGAATAATTTACTTATATGTATTATTGTTTGTTTTTTTCAGTCATTTTCCATGCCAAGAGTATTTAAACTATTCCGTGGTTTAGGGTTGAGACATTTGATTGTTGTAAATAATAATTATGAGGTAATTTAACATTTATTTTGATATCTTTTAATACCCCTAAAAAGAACTTTTAAAGATAGGTTGCCAGGCAACGAAACATGACCAAAGCAGCTAAGTCGTCCGAGCAGTCAATAAGAGTTGTCGCATATTTTTTCTGTTGTCGGGAATGAAACATTTATGATACACTAAAATCTGATTAAGAGTAACAACTCATTAAGTAATTATCAGAAAATCATTAAGTAATTATACAAAACATTTAATATCATGGATTTAGCTGTTCAAGTTATTAAAATTAATTGAGAATCAATATACTTGTTCGTCTCAAGACCTTAAACTCTATGCATCAATCTAAAGTCAATCGGCTGATAACTTTGATCTCTAGATCAGAGCATCCACAAGATTTGCCATAGTGATCAAATTGATGTCTCTTACATATCAATGCGTATACTGTGAAATGCCATCTTATTTGAGAGAACTTGTGGTACCTTACATGCCATCGAAAAATCTAAGATCAAGTACTAAGAACAACTTTGTTGTCCCAAAATATAAGCTCAGCTCTTTTGGAGCTTGCTCATTTAGTGTTGTTACTGCCAATTTATGGAATTCGCTACCCAGATTTTTTGAAGAGATCAAGGGCCATAATTAGAGCATTTGTTGACGCCGGACGTATAAAATGTGGGACGTATAAAAAGTAAGATATTTTTATACTCCTACATTTTCATGTGGATGTATATTGTCGTCGCCTCTGTTCACAGTGTTTAAGGTCATGAGAAGAAGAAGTCTATGGATTTGCAGCGATTTCCAATAATTACTGCCAGAGTTATGGCCCTTGATCACTTTGAAAAATCCTGTTAATATCCGATTGACTTTAAATTTATACACAGTGTTTAAGTCATGAGACGAAGAAGCCTATATATTTGCAGCGATTTCTGATGTTTACTACCAGAGTTATGGCCCTTGAACACTTCAAAATATCTTGTGTACACTCTTGAGACTAAAGTTAATATCTGATTGACTTAAAACTTATACACAGTGTTTAAGGTCATGAGATAAAGAAGCCTATTGATTTGCAGTGATTTCTTATATTTACTACCAGAGTTATGACCCTTGAACACTTCGAAAAATCTTGTGGATGCACTAGAGGCTAAAGTTAATATCTGATTGACTTTAAATTTATACACAGTGTTTTAGGTCATGAGATAAAGAAGCATATTGATTTGCAGTGATTTCTGAGATTTACTACCAGAGTTATGGCCCTTGAACACTTCGAAAAATCTTGTGGATACAATAGAGGTTAAAATTAATATCCGATTGACTTTTAATATTTAGACAGTGTTTAAGGTCATGAGATAAAGAAGCCTAATGATTTGCAGTGATTTCTGATATTTACTACCAGAGTTATGGCCCTTGAACACTTCAAAAAATCTTGTGGATGCATTAGAGGCTAAAGTTAATATCCGATTGACTTTAAATTTATACACAGTGTTTAAGGTCATGAGACGAAGAAGCCTATAGATTTGCAGCGATTTACTACCAGAGTTATGGCCCTTGAACACTTCGAAAAATCTTGAGGCCATGAGTTTGACAGGCGACCCTATTCCTTGTCACGTACAACAGGGGATTCGAAACCATGCCAGTTGACTCAATGACAGGCCTTATGATACAGCGTGTACGTGCTAACCATTCGGCCATCCAAACACCCCCCCGCCCCCCTCCGATATGCGCGAATATCGAAAGGAACCCAGAACTTGAGGTTATGAACTTACATTTCAAGTTTCAACAAAATCGGATAAAAATTGTGACCTCTATAGGGTCCACAACCTTGATATACCATATTTTTACACTATTTGAGAATGAAGGGCGGCCATTTTGTCGGTGAGTTTTGGGCCGATTTTCACGAAATTCGAACTCAGTCGCCCTTAGGGTGTAACGGTGATATAATAATATGTTTTTTTTAAATCGGATAAAAATTATGACCTCTATAGGGTCCACAAGCTAAAATCGTGATTTTTCGTACAATCAGGGGCCATAATTCTGGAAGTTACGTTCCGATATGCACGAATATCGAAAGGAACCGAGATCTTTGGGTTATAAACTTACATTTCAAGCAGACCCGTCAACCCCTCAGGGCTAAAATGCAGTAGGGTAGTGTAAAAAATGCAGTAGAAACCATGATTTGGCAGTAGATTTCCAAAAACGCGTAAATTCGCACTTCCAAGGGTAATTAATTTAGAAATGATACACTGAACTGCAGGCCCAAATGGGTAATAGATAAAATATTACATTATTTATGTAATTAAACCAAAATTGAATATGTAGCCTACAAAAAGAAATAATTAGTAACGTAAAAAAAAAAATTACCAGTCCAGTGTAGGCTACTGGCAGTAGTAGGCCTACCAGTACCACTTTTCTTTTTGTTTTAACTTAGCATGATTTGAAAATATCCTTGTGACGTGTGTTCCCCATTCCGAGAGTTTTTGTCAATATTGTTTCATGAAAGATTATATAGAATTTCTACGTTAGGAATAGAGAGAGGATGGGGGGCTTAAAAAATTGGTATCGATTTAATCATGCCCCCCATGGCGATTATCCTCTCAATGTATGGGATTTTTCCCCCCGTGATTCCGTAAATCTGCTTTTACATTTATTCTAGAGAGTGTTACATGTAAGTCAGAATCGTCGAGACGTATTCCCATCTTGTTGTGTTGCATTCGAAGTATTGTATTAGATGCTGTACGTACGTACGCGCGCTAACGAAAATGTCAGCCATTGCTGCCGTAAATTGGTCGCAATTTGTTTAGTTTATCGCTACGCATTTTAAGAGTATTTAGAACACGTGCCAATAATTATATCCGCTTTATTAACTCTAAAATAGGTTGAAAAGAATTTGAGAACAAATCTCTTAGCTAAATTACACCTTACAATATTCCAAATCGATGTTGATAACCGAAAGTTATTGTTTACATGCAAAGAGTTACTTCCCTTAGTTCCATAGTTTTGGCGAGAAAATTAAAAAACTCGTTGTTTGAAAATGCGGTAGAAATCTATTACTGCGCAGCAGAACGGTACATGGGGCCTTTTCGCAGCACTTTACCGCGTGATGCGGTAGAGTTGACAGGTCTGATTTCAAGTTTCATCAAAATAGGATTAAAATTGTAACCTCTATAGTGTCCACAACCTTGATATACCATATTTTTACGCTATTTGAGAACGAAGGGCGGCCATTTTGTCTGTCCACAAGCTAAAAACGCAATTTTTTCGTACAATCAGGGGCCATAATTCAGGAAGTTACGGTCCAATATGTGCGAATATCGAAAGGAACCGAGATCTTTGTGTTATAAACTTACTTTTCAAGTTTCAACAAAATCGGATAAAAATTATGACCTCTATAGGGTCCACAACCTTGATATACCATATTTTTACGCTATTTGAGAACGAACGGCGGCCATTTTGTCTGTCAGTTTTGGGTCGATTTACACGAAATTCGAACTCAGCCGTCCTTTGGGATTAATGGTGATATAATAATACGTTTTTTTAAATCAGATAAAAATTATGACCTCTATAGGGTCCACAAGCTAAAAATGCGATTTTTCGTACAATCAGGGGCCATAATTCAGGAAGTTACGTTCCGATATGCGCGAATATCAAAAGGAACCGAGATCTTTGGGTTATAAGCATATATTTCAAGTTTAAACCAAATCGGATAAAAATTGTGACCTCTACAGTGTTGACAAGCTAAAAACGTGATTTTTCGTACAATCAGGGGCCATAATCCATGAAGTTACAGTCCGATACATGCCAATATCGAAAGGAACCGAGATCTTAGGGTGATAAACCTATATTTCAAGTTCCATTGAAATCGGATAAAAATTGTGACCTGTAGACAGTAGACGGACGGACAGACATGGGAGACGACAATATACGTCCACATGAAAATGTGGGCGTATAAAAATATGCAACAACATGTGTTGACTGCTTGGACGACTTAGCTGCTGTGGGTGTATGTCTCGTTGCCTGGCTACCTATCTTTATCTGATTTTGAAGGAACTTGAAATATAGGTTTATCTCCAAAATATCTTGTTCCTTTCGATATTGGGATGTATCCGATCGTAATTTCATGGAATATGGCCCCTTATTGTACCAAAATCATGTTTTTAGCTTGTGGTAGGTTGCCGCACCATAAATAAATATCTCCAAATTTCTCGACAATTACACCACAATATTTATATATATACCAAGCCTTAAATCAGTTTCACACATTTATAGTCACTAAATAAACGGTCACGTTGCACTTAATAAGCTATGACCATTCCATCTATAAATAATAGACTGAAAAGTGGTTACAAGTATCAGCCATAACATCCGGGCACTTTTGAGTAAAAAGTAGATTACATGCCCTTGTTTTGAAATTAGTCTCGCTTAACCAGTCTATCTACGTCTGAATGACAGGCCGGGATAATCAAGACTACCTTTTTATGAAACATAACAGAAAGCTGGAACAGGAAATTGAATTTAGAAACATGTGCATTAGGCAACAATTGTTTTAAGAACCTTGTAAAAGTAAAATGAAACAGTCTGTAGGGAAAATTTTCGCTGCACGGGACACCGAACTTGTGGAGACCCTAGAGGTCACAATTTTTATCCAATTTTGATGAAACTTGAAATTCATGTTTATGACTCAAAGATCTCGATCCTTTCAATATTCACACATATCTGACCATAACTCCCTGGGTGATTGTAAGAAAAATCGGGTTTTTAGCTTGTGGTCACAATTTTTATCCCCCCAAAAAATATATCACCGTCTAAATTTCGTAAAAATGGCCTCTCCTTGTTGACTCTCTAGAGGTCACAATTTTTATTCGATTTTGATGAAAGTTAAAATATCCTCTTCAAAAAAAGTAGGGGATATTGAAATGCAAATACCTATGCAGGTTGTTACATGATAAATAGTCATGGACACTTGAACATGCTTTGAAAGTATGTTCACAGATGAAGAACTTGTCGCCCAAACAGAACCACTGAGCTGCATGTGTGACACGCAATAGGGCCATACACGTGGGAGGGGTTCATTGTCAAATTTGACACTTCAAGGAAGGGTTGATGAAAACTGCTGCTTGCTGGTTTATCTTATCCATGATTGCGTTCCTATCCATGATTTACTGTTTAGCATATCTTTGCTTTAGTGTGTTACGTTTAATTTGATCAGGAGACGTGTTTGTCGACGTCAACCGACAACACTGCAAGAATTGGCCATGACACTGCAAGAGGAGTGGATCAGATTGCCCCAAATCGTGATTGGACGGTTAGTTAGGAGCATGCCGCGACGAATTGCTGAATGTCTGAGGATTGGTGGAGCAATTACTCATTATTAAGATAAAAATCAAAAACGTCCATTTTCACTTTTGACAGTGTATCTCTTTGCGAGTGAAATGGGGTCGTCAGATAAGCTGCCCAGATGAACTTTTTATGTTCATGTGTAGGCAATTGGCCTTGTTATTAACATAAACTGGTTACCTCTAATAAAAACAGCAGTGCATTTCTGCAGTTTTGTATTGTTTTTAAATATCCCCTACTTTTTTTGAAGAATATATATATGTTTATATCCCGAAGATCTCAGTTCCTTTCGATATTCGCGCATTTCAGACCATCATTTCCTGGATTATGGCTAAACAAAAAGCGATTTTCGTACAATCAGGGGCCATAATTCAGGCAGCTACTATCCGATATGCGCAAATATCGAAAGGAACCAAGATCTTTGGGTTATAAACATGCATTTCAAGTTTCATCAAAATCAGATGAAAATTGTGTCCTCTAGAGTGTCCACAATCTAAAAACGTGATTTTCCGTACAATCGTCGAATCCGGGAAGTTGTGGTCCGATATATGCCAATATCGAAAGGAACCGAGATCTTTTGGAGAAAAACCTATATTTTAAGTTTCGTCAAAATAGAAAGATAGGTTGCGAGGTAACGAAACATACGGCCACAGCAGCTAAATCGTCCGGTAATGAAAGATTTATAATACACTAAAATCTGATTAAGTGTAACAACTCATGAAGTAATTATCAATCTGAAGTCAATCGGATGATAACTTGAACCTCTAGAGCGTCACAAGATTTTTCAAAGTGATCAAGGGCCATAACTTTGGCAGTAATTATCGGAAATCGTTGAAAATCAATAGAATTCTTTGTCTCATGACCTCAAGCACTGTGTATAAATTTAAAGTCAATCGGATATTAACTTTAGCCTCTAGAACATCCACAAGATTTTTTGAAGTGATCGAGGGCAGTAATTATCGGGAATTGCAGAAAATCAATAGGATTCTCCGTCTTATGACCGTAAACACTGTGTATAAATTTAAAGTCAATCGGATATTTACTTTGGCCTCTAGAGCGTCCACAAGATTTTTTGAAGTGATCAAGGGCCATAACTCTGGAAGTTATTATCGAAAATCGCTGAAAATGAACAGACTTCTTCATCTAGTGGTCTTAAACATTGTGTATAAATTTAAAGTCAATCAGATATTAACTTTGGGCTCTAGAGCGTCCACAAGATTTTTTGAAGTGATCAAGGGCCATAACTGGAAGTAATTATCGAAAATTCGTCTAATGACCTTAAACACTGTGTATAAATTTAAAGTCAATCTGATATTAACTGTAGCCTACAAGATTTTTCAAAGTGATCAAGGGCCATAACTCTGGCAGTAATTATTGGAAATCGCTGAAAATCAATAGGCTTCTTCGTCTCATGACCTTACACACTGTGTATAAATTTAAAGGCAATCGGATATTAACTTCAGCCTTTGGCAGTAATTATCGGAAATCGTTGAAAATCAATAGAATTCTTTGTCTCATGACCTCAAGCACTGTGTATAAATTTAAAGTCAATCGGATATTAACTTTAGCCTCTAGAACATCCACAAGATTTTTTGAAGTGATCGAGGGCAGTAATTATCGGAAATTGCTGAAAATCAATAGGCTTCTCCGTCTTATGACCGTAAACACTGTGTATAAATTTAAAATCAATCGAATATTAACTTTGGCTTCTAGAGCGTCCACAAGATTTTTTGAAGTGATCAAGGGCCATAACTCAGGCAGTAATTATCGGAAATCACTGAAAATCAATAGACTTCTTCGTCTCATGACCTTAAACACTGTGTATAAATTTAAAGGCAATCGGATATTAACTTCAGCCTCTAGAGCGTCCACAAGCAATTGTGGACGCCGGATGGACGACGGGGGTGACCTGTAGAGTGTCCACAAACAAATTGCGGACTTATGGATGTCTGGACAGGGGCGACAATATACATCCACATGAAAATGTGGGCGTATAAAAACTCTTTAAAGGAGCTAAATCGCTAATATTTGAGACCTAGAAATTGACACAAATGGGTCGCAACGCATACAATAATGTTATCAGAATGTATATGAACTGATTTACATTCTATCGTTTCCGTTTTTACTCTAATTTCAAATCAGTTACGTTCGGCGAAATACGCCAGAAGTCTCATTCGAATATCAATTTCTAGCGTCTGGTTATTCCAGTCTATTGCGCATGTTCTCCATATAAGAATATGGCGTCAGCACTTGACATGACTTATGGAATCTCTAGTCTCATTCTTTCTTGTCCCTTGTTAAAAATGACACTGAAACACATTATGGTACACGATTCGTGTACCAGTGGTGAAATGTTTATTTTGTCTTAAATATTGGATATCAGAAGACCATTTTTTCCCCGTAAGATCACATCAATGTTGATTTAAACTGACAAATAATTGGTGTTTTCAATGAGGAAGATTTTGGATGATATTGAGTTGGAAACTTGGCTACTTTAATATATCACCGTTACACCTTAATGAACATAAGTATGTAATACGAAGGTTGTGGACCCTCTAGAAGTCACAATTTTTGTCTGATTTTGATGAAACTTAAAATAAATGTTTATATCCCAAAGATCTCAGTTCCTTCCTTTTGCGCATTTCAGACCATAACTTACTGGATTATGGCCCCTGAATGTACGAAAAATCAGTTTTTTTGGTAGCTTGTTCTCTTTCCATCTCTTGCAAAATGTGGCCATATCTTGCATATTAGGTAAATAAATTATAACTTGACTAGAAATTGTTTTAGCTTCACACATTTTTATGGCAAGAATTATTTAATTTCATCTTTCTACATTACTTCACAATGTTTCTAAATTTTACATAATGCTTTCAATTATCTTCTGTTTTTTTAGCCTGTTGGTATGGTCACAAGAAAAGATCTAGCTAAATACAGAGCAGAGTCCAAAAGAGGAATGTTGAAAGTAGAACATTTAAAGATAGAAAATGTGTAAAATCCAACAACTGTCTTTTGTTCATGTTTATATGGAATCTTTAAATTCTTCAATATTTAAGGGAAAGAAATATGTTTGTTCATAACCAAAAAATGTTGACAGTATTATTATTTGCTAAATATTGACACCTGTATTTAAGCACTCTTTACCAAACAATAATTACAGAACTACTCTGGGATATATCAAATATATAGGTATATATGCAATTGTTTACCAGGATATTATGTAAAACAAATGTATGACAAAATATATAAGATCTGGTAATTTCCTAAACAACGACAATGTGATGTAATATCTGAGAACATCATGTATGATAATAATGCTCCCAGATATTAGAAAGTGTTTTTCTATTTGGATATTAAATGGTCACCGTATCTTTTTATTTTGTGCTAAATCATGGCCATATGAAATAAATATTCTGGTTCTCAGATAATCCCGCTCAATTCACAAGGGTCGCATGACATATTTTTATTTTAAAAAATAAAGTCTCATTAATTACGATAGGTAAATATCTCACCTTGGTTAAAGGAAGTAAATATAAAAAAAATTAAATGAATGCATAGACTCAGTTATCAAGTACACAACACTAATAATGTTAATGACCATACATTCCAATAAACAACATAAGATAAATGCAGTGCCTTGAAATTAGATGTGTATGAGAAGTCATTTAAACATGCATTATGCAAGAGCTAAATCGATCTGTTGCTGGTCTTTCTTAGGCCTGAAATGTTATGTAAATTATTAATTTAACGTAAAAATGTATATTCGAGACTTTATCATACCAATTTCCGTAATGGCTAATATGTTGGTTCAGAATGAAGCAATTTGACTGAAATTTTCAGCATATTTGTTCAATTTCTATTTATTAACTATTATAGCGAGAACTGTCCGCTCTTCATCTAAACTTACCTAATGCCCCTTTAACCAAGTAGTCACCCTTTGACAAAATTAACACAAAGCGTCCATTTAGATTGGCGTGTTTCTAGATACAACGCGAGAGTCGCTGTTAAGCCAGCACGGTGAAAAAGTCGCTGGTCGGCGACTTTGTCGTCGTACTACCTTATCGGCGACCCGCGACTTTCACAACACGAGAGTCGCCGTTAAGCAAGTCGCCGATTTTTTCGGCGCATGGCTTAACGGCGACTCTCGTGTTGTGAAAGTCGCGAGTCGCCGATAAGGTAGTACGACGAAAAAGTCGCCGATCGGCGCCTTTTTCGTCGTGCTGGCTTAACGGCGACTCTCGCATTATATCTAGAAACCCGCCGATGTAAATGGACGCTTTCAGCCACCATAAGGATTATCTTAGAACCAGAATATCTTTTTGTATGGCCCATTTGTATTCTTTTTTTTTTTTTTAGAGTTACATGTATTATATTATAGTTTTCAATATATATTTATACAATTACTGTGTACATATTAAAAGATCTTAGAGACTGTTATTTTTTATCACCATGGGCCTTATTCTTAATTTATGTCCAGAATTTATATCCAAGACCCAGTTGGAGTTCTAGATAATTTTGAGTCAAATTCTATGAACAGATTGTCAGTCAACCCATTTCCTTTAATATTAAAAAATAACCATATGAAAACATAACAGATTCAGTTTAAGACTGTCACTGTCTTGTTATATAGGTCTGGGGCCTGTTTCACGAAATTTTAACTAAGATAAAATCCAAATTTTAGTAATTTGATTGGATAATATTAGTTTGATTTTAGTGCTTAGCCAATCACAATTGAAGTATCTACTAAAATTTGGATTTTATCTTTAGTTAAAATTTCGTGAAACAGGGCCCCGATGATCAACTTCAGTTTTATTTTAAAATAAACAGCTGGTTAGTTGTCTGCTGCTTCTATTGACTATTCTACCAAGAATACTGGTGTCATTGATATTTGTAAGTGGATGATTCTGCATCAACAATGCTTAGGGTTATTATGCATCTATTTTATTTAAATCTGAAGCTTAGAGCCTAAAAATTGTATGTGGAAATACTATGAAACGAAAACCAGAGTGTGCATTTAAACATTAATTTATGCAGTGATCACCTTTGACAACATAACCTAGTCAAACTTCCATTTACGTAACTGGATTAATAATTATAATAATTATAGAGAATCTGGGAGTGCCATTTTTCTTTCAAATATATTTGGTAGTACTATATGTTTTAAGTGATAAAAAAGCTTTCTCTTCAAATATGTTTAGCTAAAAATGATTATTACAAGTTATGATGGTTGTGGATTGTGATTATACCAAGGTTAAGAGTATATTTTACCTCAAAAGTTTTTTAATGAATTATGCATCTTATAACATATTATTCATATACTTTTAGTAGTACTGCAGTTTATGTACATAATTTAAATATTCTTTTGCAAACAATGGGCATGTATATTATATAAATTATGAAGAAATGATAGAGTAATTTTGAAAATCCCTTAAAATATTGTGAGAAACGCAAGATAAACTGTGATAATCGAATTGTTTGATTAATCCATTGTAGAGTTCAAATATGAGAAATATGTTGATTTTTATGTGTTTTTTTTATATATTTCAAATTATTTTATTCTTACATTCCCCACACAAATTATTAAAGGCGCTTGTCTTTCATTACAGGCTTTAGTTTTTTTTATTTTCCCAGTAGGCCAAAGAGGCTTATGTCCAGAGCGGTGTTACCAACTCAATAGTTTTAATAGATCAACATTAGAATATAGAATAATGAGTGTCAGTGAAAACAAATGGATTGACAGTTCTGCATAAGATATAGTGAAAGATTGCTGTAAAATTAGACAAAAAAAAAAGAGAGACCTTTTGATCAATCAGAATTGAAAGAATAGTTGACCAGACTTTTTTCTCTTCTGTTTCTTGTCTTCCTTTTTAACATTTGTAGACCTAATTATCGTAAAACACTCAGGACAATTTTGTAGGTATGTGAATTTCTTCATTATTACATATTTATTCTTTTGTAGGTAATTACGGGCATTTAATAGACAATTCATACAGATGACACAATTTTGGTCGTTGGAGGGTTCACAAGGTTCTAAAAACTAAAACAAGGGCCATAACTCTGGAAGTAATCTACAAAAATTGATGAAATTCATCAGGCTTTTTCGTTTCACTAATTCAAATAATACATATAAATTTCATACAGATTGGATGATAACTTTTGTCGTTCGAATGTTCACAAGGTTCAACAACCATACCCTATCAGCTGAAAAAGGAATCAAAGTTGTCCATCATATTTTGAAATAAACCTACGTACTCGGGTAGCTATGGGACGTTCTGAAGCCAGAAGATTTTTTGTTCTGAAGGGCACTTTTCAAGTTTGCCTTAGCAACGCGAACATATGTAGCAAAGATTAACTTTGTCCGCAAAGATTTGAATTAAATCGATTTTTTTCCTGATTTCGGGGGCGTACAGCCCCCTTACCCCAGGGGATGTGCAACTTAAGAATTCCCATTCTGATCATCGGCCATGATGGTGCCTCTGTTAGGCATAGTGCCAATTTTGTCTGAGTTTAGGAACAACGGTCAGCTAGCTCCCCTACTATAATGGGGGGAGCAATTTCATACAGATCAGGTTATAGTTTTTATCCTTTGAGGGTTCACAAGGTGAACAAGCGGTGGTCAAGCAAGATACGCCAACATTTTGCAAGAGATGGATAAAACAAAACAGATTTTTTGTGCAATTGGGAGCCATAATCCAGAAAGTTATGGTCTGAAATGCGTAAATATCAAAAAGAACAGATCTTTTGGATATAAAGATATATTTTTGGTTTCATTAAAATTTGATAAAAATTGTGACATCTAGGGAGTCCACAACCTTTGTATTACACAATTTGTGTACAAAGAGCAGCCACTTTCAATTTGATTTTCCCGAAATATGAATTCAACCTTCATTATGGTGGAATGGTGATATATTGAAATAGTTTTTAAAATCGGATAAAAAATTGTGACCTCTAGAGAATCCACAAGCTAAAAAAGCAGTTATTCGAAAAATCTGGGGCCATAATCCAGAAAGTTACTTCGGATATATGCACGTAATCAAAAGGAACCAAGATCTTTGTGATCTAAACATAAATATACCAGCGGCTGCCAGGCAGGATACGCCCACATTTTCGCCAGATGGATAGAGAACAAGCTAATAAAAGTGATTTTTCCTACAATCAAGGGCCATAACTCAGGAATTACAATTCGATATGCACAAATATCTAAAGGAACCACGATCTTTGGGTTGTAAACTTACATTGCAAGTTTCAACAAAATCGGATAAAAATTGACCTCTACAGGCTCCACAACCTTGATATACCATATTTTTACGCTATTTGAGAACGAGGGACGGCCATTTTGTCTTGTCAGTTTTGAGCCGATTTTCACGAAATTCGAACTCAGCCGTCCTTAGGGTGTAACGGTGATATAATAATACAGTTTTTTTTAAATCGGATAAAAATTATGACCTCTATAGGGTCCACAAGCTACAAACGCGATTTTTCGTACAATCAGAGGCCACAATTCAGGAAGTTACGGTCTGATATGCGCCAATATCGAAAGGAACCAAGATCTTTGGGTTATAAACTTACATTTCAAGTTTCAACAAAATCGGATAAAAATTGCGACCTCTATAGGGTCCACAACCTTGATATACCATATTTTTTTTAACGCTATTTGAGAACGAAGGGCGTCCATTTTGTCTATCCGTTTTGGGCCGATTTTCACGAAATTCAAACTCAGCCATCCTTAGGGTGTAACGGTGACATAATAATACGTTTTTTTAAATCAGATAAAAATTATGACCTCTATAAGGTCCACTAGCTAAAATGATTTTTCTTACAATCAGGGACCATAATTCAGGGGCAACGACAATATACTTCCACATGAAAATGTGGGCGTATAAAAATTTCATCAAAATCGGATCAAAATTGTGGCCTCTACCATAATTCAAACATCACACGTTTTTTTAAATCGGATAAAAGTTGTGACCTCTACAAGGACCACAAACTAAAAACAAGATTTTACGTAATATCAAGGGCCATAATTCAGGATGTTACAATACAATATGAAGGAATATCAAAAGGAACCAAGATCTTTGGGTTTTAAACATACATTTCAAGGTCCACAACCTTGAATTACCATATTTGTGTACAAGGGGCTGCCATTACAAGGGGTTACAATACAATATGAAGGAATATCAAAAGGAACCAAGATCTTTGGGTTTTAAACATACATTTCAAGGTCCACAACCTTGAATTACCATATTTGTGTACAAGGGGCTGCCATTTTGTCCGGCAGTATGGGTCCGATTTTTACGGAATTCGAACTCAACCAACATTATGGTGCAACAGTGATACATTTGAACATTGATATAAATTGGTTAATAATTTAGACCTCTAGAGGGACCACAAACTAAATACCCGATTTTTCGCACAATCAGGAGCCATAATTCCTGAAGTTACGATCCGATCTGTGTGAATATCTTACAATCAGGGGTCATAATCCAGTGGGGTGATCTTTGGGATATAAACTGCCAATCATATTTAATTTTGTTTAAAATCAAAACCATCCGAAGTTCTAGAGAGTTGATTATGGGCCTTGACATGTAAATAAATATCTAATTAAGATTTATATAACATTTGAGGCCTAACAAAAAATCTGCATTAGGCTCTTGAATAATGCATCTTTAAACAGTGTATGAATTTCAAGTCAATCAGATGATAATTTAAGCCTATACAGAACAATAGAAGGGAGTCATGACAATGTAAAACTGCCATTTCGATGTAGATATAGAACTGTAGAGCTATAGATGTTTTTATTAACATGAAATAACTGATGTTGAAGAACAACTCTGAAATTTGATACAGTTCTCTATATAACATTGATCAAGAATTTTGCCCAGGACAAGGATGACAATTTACTCCTACATCCATCCTTTAGCATGTCAAACATATTTCATTTATTGTGAAACACATAGTGACAATAAAATAATGTACCACATCATGGTTTATTTTTGTATTTACATCTTACAAATTTCATCATATTCATATAACATATTGGAGAAATGAGATTGTCCAGAAATAATGATTTACATGATCAATATGAAATAATTAATGATTTACTTGATCAATATGGTTAATCAATAAATTCCTATATTATTATAATAAAAAAATCCAAATCCCAAGTTTTACACCATTACATTTCAGATAAAAAGAGAATTATCCAAGATGCAATGAAAATGTAAACTTTAAATGCAAATCTGGTATCTTTGAACACAATTCTGGTTATCTTCATCAGTTATCTATGTACAAATATATATATATATTAACAAGAAGCAAAATTAATGTTGCTTATCAAAATTGTGTTTTATAAGGTTTTATTTGTTACTGACATCAATTATGAACAATTTCTACATTGAGGTATATACATCAGTTATTCTGCACAATATTACAAAACCACTATTGCTCTTGTATTATCTACAAAACAGTAGCACTAGACATTAACATCCTTCTCCAGTATCGTATCTCAAATATCTTTTAATCAAGTTTTAGCACAATCGAATAACCTTGTTGGTTACAATGAGATAGTCTTCATCTTGTAATTCTTTCAGTGCATCATCAAACATATCTTTGGTGACAGGCTGGAAAAAAGATATATCTTCATTACAATGAGAAGAGTCATTTATGAATTAAGTTAGTTTTTTTTATCTAGTATATTGTTTAAAAGGATTGTGGATGAAAATTGACGATAACAATACTCTTAAGACCTAATGTGGGAGTATAAAAATGACTCGCTAACAAAAATTTGGAACTTACAAAATCAGATCTTTCACGGAATTGTTCATATAGCTGCTGGTATTTCAATGTTGGAACTTTGCCTTTTTCAGTAATAAGTTTTTTGAGACATTGTGCTACTTCTGCTTTACGTTTCCTAGCAGCACCACTAATACCAGTAGTTAGAATTGTGATATCTATTTTACCAGTAGATGGATCTACAGCTGCTTGTTTTAAAGCTTCTTTATATAACCTGTTGAAAACAATAATTTAGCAATATAATAGGAAACGAATGAGCTGCCAGGCACAAAACATGCACTCACTACATGCATTCTTTTGTGGGTTGTCCTTTGTAGGTAATGGGAGCATTCTCAAGGAACTAAAGATAGGTTGCCAGGGATAACATCCGCCCACAGCAGCTAAATCGTCTGGGCAGTCAACAAGACTTGTCGCATAATTTTACTTTTTTCGGTAATGAAACATTTATAATACACTAAAATCTGATTAAGAGCAACAACTCAAGAAGTAATTATCAGAAAAGTATTAGAATTTGTTTGGTTTTTATAAAGTTCTCACCCATGCTAATGTTTTGTATACAAAGCTTTTAATATCATGGAATTAACTGTTCAAGTAATACAAATTCATTGAAAATAAATATACTTGTTTGTCTCAAGATCTTAAACTCTGTGTATCAATCTGAAGTCAATCGAATGATAACTTTAGCCTTTAGAGCGTCACAAGATTTTGCAAAGTGAACAAGGGCCATAACTTGGGCAGTAATTATCGGAAATCGTTGAAAATCAATAGGAATCTTTGTCTCATGACCTCAAACACTGTGTATAAATTTAAAGTCAATCGGATATTAACTTTAGCCTCTAGAGCATCCATAAGATTTTTTGAAGTGATCAAGGGCCATAACTCTGGCAGCAAGCAAATATCGGAAATCGCTGAAAATCAATAGGCTTCTTCGTCTTGTGACCTCAAACACTGTGTATAAATTTAATGTCAATCGGATATTAACTTTGGCCTCTAGAGCGTCCACAAGATTTTTCAAAGTGATCAAAGGCCATAACTCTGGCAGTAATTATCAGAAATCGCTGAAAACCCATAGACTTCGTCTTATGACCTCAAACTCTGTGTATAAATTTAAGGTCAATTGGATATTACCGCCGACAATATACGACCACATTTCAATGTGGGCGTATCAAAATTGATACAAGTTGCAAGCCATGATGAGTTTATCAGAAATAATCATGCCCTGAAAAAGTCAAATTGCCTTTTGTTTGGACATGATTGTCCAACCAAGTTTTTGTAAAAAAATTAAGTAAAAAATAATAATTTCCATTTGCGAAAGCAAGATGCGTTCATTTGAATATATCTTTAATTATTAGACTAAATATTCCAGGGAACAAAATGTCAAGAGTGGTAACTTGTTGAAGATCTACAGGTTCCTTTATCTCATGAATATAAACATTGTGCATAAATTTCATGTCAATCTGATTATAATTAACCTTTGAACAACTAACACAACTCCAATAGTAATTATCGGAAATTGTTGAAAATCAATAGGATTCTTTTCTGGCTAATGCATTTACAAGCAACAGTGGCGACAATGGAAGGGGTGCTAACTGTGCATCACCACATTTTTATAAGAAATATACAGGTTATTTAATTGCACGCTTACCGTCTAGCTTCCTCAACATCAGCAACTTCAACAGTATTTGATAGTCGCATCCTAGCATGGGCTTCAGCTAATCTGATGAGAGATTCTAACTGTCTAGGATAAGCTGAAACCTGACCCCTGCTACTACCAACTTGTCTCATTTCAACATAAGCTTGTATAAAAGCCTGACCAGCATCTTCTCCGATTTTGGGATGTACTTCAGCTTTTGAGTAAGTGATATAATCCTTCAGTATTGTCATATCCTGTAACAAATATGACAGATTAATGATCTTTCTTAGGACATGATTATGAATAAATTAACAATCGAAAACCCAAGTATACAAGGCGACAGTGTGGCTGATGTCCCTCTCCAAAATAAATAGATGATACATGTTAATTAATCCCACATTTATTTTTTTCAAAAATATCGAGCAATCAAACTGATTATCAACTATACACTAAGTTTCATCACTCTCTATCAGATAGAATCAAAGTTATCTTGTCCCAAAGCATCAACCAATGAAATTGCTTAGCTTTAGCTCGAAATGTTAATCAATGAACTCAGTCAAGACGTTCACCTAATGAACATCTACATCATGTTTAAACATTCTACCTCAATTAAAAGCGGAGTTATGTTCTAAAGTCTTGACCAATCAAATTGCTTATCGCTCCTTAGTCTAAGCAGAAAATTCTCACCATTGAACTTAGTCAATTTAATGATATAATGAATCTATATTCCGAGTTTCGTCGCTCTCACTTCATTGTAACCAAAGTTATTGTGACCCAAAGCATCAACCAATCAGATTGCTTTTTCATTATGAAACTCCATCAAGACAGTCACCTAATGAATGCCTACACCAAGTTTGAACATTTTACCTCAATTAGCAGAGTTATTGTGTTCCAAAGTCTCGACCAATCAAATTGCTTATTGCTTTGCTTACCCTCCGCAGAAAATGTTCATTATTAAACTTAGTCAAGGTATTGATGTAATAAAACTATACATCAAGTTCCTCATTCTCACTTAATTAGAACCAAAGTTATCCTGTCCCAAAGCATCAAACAATCAAATTGCCTATCTCTGCTTACCCTAAGCAGAAAATTGTCATCTTCGAACTCCATCAAGGCATTCACCCAATAAACACCTACCCCAAGTGTGAACATTCTAGCTCAATTAGAATGAGAGTTATTGTGTTCCAAAGTCTCGACCAATCAAATTGCTTATTGCTTTGCTTACCCTCAGCAGAAAATGTTCATTATTAAACTTAGTCAAGGTATTGATGTAATAAAACTATACATCAAGTTCCTCATTCTCACTTAATTAGAACCAAAGTTATCCTGTCCCAAAGCATCAAACAATCAAATTGCCTATCTCTGCTTACCCTAAGCAGAAAATTGTCATCTTCGAACTCCATCAAGGCATTCACCCAATAAACACCTACCCCAAGTGTGAACATTCTAGCTCAATTAGAATGAGAGTTATTGTGTTCCAAAGTCTCGACCAAGCAAATTACTTATCGTTCTGCTTACCCTGAGCAGAAAATGTTCATTATTGAACTTAGTCACGCTATTGATGTAATGAAACTATACTTCTAAGTTTCATCACTCTCACTTAATTAGAACTAAAGTTATCGTGTCCCAAAGCATCAACCAATCAATTTGCTTATCTCTGCTTACCCTAAGCAGAAAAAGCTCATCTTTGAATTCCATCAAGGCATTGACCTAATTAACACCTACATCAAGTTTGACCACTCTAGCTCAATTAGAAAGAAAGTTTTTGTGTCCCAAAAAGTGTGGCGGACAGACAGAAGGACACATTTTAATAGGCTTCTGCTTTCTTTAAAAGGCGTGGGACAAAAAATATGGTTTGTTATATTTTTTCTTTTAGCAGTTTTTAACATGTTTTTTTTTGTGTGCAAAAGGCAATTTGTGTTGTATGGTGCTGCACTAATACAAGGAAAGTGTACATAGTTGCCATTACAAGGTAACGAGACAATCATACATTATGAACACAATGTTATAATGATAGTGATTCTTCATCTCAGCAATTTATAAATAATGTGGCTGTTTTTAATCTGAGAAACTCAAATGAATTGAAATACCAAGTGCTCTCTTACAAGAGATTACAAAATTATCAAGGTAATCAACAAAGACTGACACCTGTTTTAAGCTCACCGATCATAGATCGGTTATTGCTCGTCGGTTAACACCCACTGATTGAAGGCTGGATAATCCAATGTTAATTCAATGCAAATCGTGTGGCAGGACTACTGATTGATGTCGTAATTCGGAATACAGTGCACTCTGTCACATCCGAACTCTGATCACTTCGGCCTTCTGTGAAATCCGACACCATTTTCATGTCCTGATTTATTTCCTTATTACTTCAGCTAAAAAATCTCTGGGTAATTCGACCTCTGAATATTCCGGATTGCGACATCAATCAGTCTTTCCATTGAATCAACGCCGTATGATCCAACCTTCAATCGGCAGGAGTGAAGCAAACACTCACCAATCAATTATCGCTGAGATTAAAAGCCACAAAAGATTAACAAGCAATCACCAATCAATTATGTGTGAGGTTAAAACTCGCTACCGTGGGTCTTTATTGATTACTTTGATAATTTCAATCTCTTGTACGACAGTTGTGACAAATACTCAAGAATATCCACTAATTTTCCCCCGAATTCAGTTGTAAAAATATCCCTAGCACCTGTTGGAAAAATTTGTTGCGTATGCCGATTAAACTCGAATAATCTATAAGTTTGGTCACCCTACGGATCTCTTCAAACTGTGTGATGACGACCTCCGGAACGTCCTGAATTGACAGAATTGCAATCGAGTGACGCGGAATTCAGTCCTGTCAGTCCCGACGACGGAGGTGGTGTGAGTAGAATTGTGAAGTAATTAAACACGACGAACGGGTTTTGGCTGCATGGTTGGATGAGATATGCGTCGACGCATGCGTTGTAGCCGGAAGTACCCATTTCACTCGATTGTCACTATTTTTGGGATTGTGAGAATTCAATTCTGGAACGTTCAATCCAGTACACCCATTATCAATGAACATGTGATAGCAAAGACAAGAGTGAGATCAACTGAAGACGGTGAAGAAGATAAATTAACGACAGACTTGACCTATTCAAAATGCCTACGCATGTTAAATGAAACACAAAAATTAATGTACTGGTAATAAAATTTTGAATGTACAGAAAGGTTAATCATTTTTAAAGGGAATAACATTCTGGTGATTCGAAGCTACATTATAATAATACTTCCGGTTTTTGAAGTTACACTTATTTCCGGTTTTGAGAAAACTGGGTATTCCGATACTCTGTGTAACCTGACATATTGTAACGATCCCGTACAATGTCGGATTTGACAGAGTCCACTGTATTCAGAATATGGACTACTCAAAACTTTTTTGGTTGATGTAATAAGGAAATAAATCGGGACTTGATAATGTTGACGGATTTCACAGAATGCTGTATTCAGATGTTAGACGTGACCGACTCCACTGTAGTTAGGAATCCATTACTTACAAGTTGTTCTTCTTCAGCTTCTTTCTCACTACGGAAATACAGAGAGACAAGATGGCCCGCTAATCGTCTGTCGTATAATTCATCTTGAGGATCCAACATAATAAATATCAAATCAAATCTGAAAATAATTGTCATTTAATTAATGAATTGTACAAGAGAGGGAAACAAAACATAAATGATCCATTTGACAATGTGCCAGTTTCCCCCCAGATAAGTTTCTAAAATCAATAACTTCAATTTCACTGGCATTGTCTATTAGAATGAAATGATAAAATAATATTGTTATTATACCTTGATAATAAGGTGTGAGGAAGTTGAATATTTTCTGTGATGGTCTTATTTTTATTCCACTGTGATTCAACTGGATTAGCAGCAGCCAATATGGAGGTTCGGGCATTCAAAGAACAAATTATACCAGCTTTAGCTATAGACAGTGTCTGTTGTTCCTAAAAATTATAATCTTTATTAGTTAATGCTATTTTGCAGTCAATTTAAGTTGATCCAACAATATGACTAGTTAACTAGTCTTGAACCCACATTAATAAATATTTCAGTTTTAGCTACAGACACCTTATCGTATAATGGATTATTTTAACACAGAAGAGATATATAAATATAAATTTTACCATAACTTCATGTAGTATAGATCTGGTACTGTCATTCATTTTATCAAATTCATCAATACAACAAATGCCATTATCGCTCAATACTAAAGCACCACTGAAATTACAATTCACGGTTAGATCAGTATTATGAAACTTGTCTTTCTGGCAATCAAGCAATACCTCTATATACGGATGTTGATAATACGTTTTTGAACCATATTTCAAAATTTATGTATCAACTCAGTACCAAAACATACTGCTCATTTTCACTGAAGCTATTAATCATAGTTCTCTGTGATAGAAAATGTTAGACAACAGAAAGTGATACTTACGTCTGTAGTACAAGTTGTCTTGTTTCAGGATCTTTAGTAACATAAGCTGTAAGACCTACAGCACTAGAACCTTTACCAGATGTATACTGTCCTCTAGGTACAAGATTAAATACATACTGTAATAGTTGAGATTTACTTGTACCAGGATCACCACACAATAATATATTTACCTCAGATCTATAATTAATCAAATATGTTTAATATAACTGTATCAAAACATCAACCAATACAACATAGTGTTCACATTCAATTCTGATTGTATTATTCCAAAATTCTTATTGATTCATATTCTTGGTCTGTCTTTGGTGCTTTTTCAGATTTCTAGAAATTAAATATACTAAGCAGCAAAAGAAACGTCAGGTTGATATGTTACTCTGAATAGACGCATGGCATAAAAGTTGCCAAATGTTTCTACTGTATATTTGTGACCACATCTCCAACTTTACCTGAGCAATAAGGCTCCTTCCCAAACAGAATTGAACCCAGGAAATGTTCTCAAAAACGCAACCGATGGACCAAACACAGCCGATGGATTGCGCTAGGCTTTTCTGAGAGTGTGGTTCCAGGTGCCAATGACGTTCATCAATCATCTGGTCCACTCAATGTGCAGACGCTGCGCTGCTATTATTGACACTCGCGGTGGACACACCAGATACTGAGGCATAGATTGTGTACAGACTCTAAACCTTCTCGTAATGTCTTGGAATTGTAATGAATTAATCAGTAATGTGTCAACACACAACAACAAAAATTGCTTTGATCCATTTAATAAGTCGTTTTCTAGAAGGATTTGCTTAAAGCGCCTCTCTGATTTTAAAATTGTACTGATGTTTTTTTTGGCTGTTTAGTTTACTTCAAATCAATACATTTTGCTGAATTTTAATATTATAAATAACCGGCGTCTGCCAGGCAAGATACGCCCACATTTTGCAAGAGATGGATAGAGAACAAGCTAAACAAATTGATTTTTCCTACAATCAGGGGCCACAATTCTGGAAGTTAAATCCGATATGCGCAAATATTGAAATGAACCAAGATCTCTGGGTTATAAACACGCATGTCAAGTTTCATTAAAATCGGGTAAAAATTGTGACCTCTAGAGGGTCCAAAACCTTGATATACTAGATGTTTACACTATTTGTGTACGAGGGGCGTACAGTGATATATTCAAATGTTTTTTTTTTAAATCAGATAATAATTTTGACGTTTAGAGGGACCCACAAGCTAAAAACGATATTTTTCGTACAATCAGGGGGCCTTAATTCAGGAAGTTATGGTCCAATATGCACTAATATTGAAAGGAACCAAGATCTTTGGGTTATGAACATGCATTTCAAGTTTCATCAAAATTTGATCAAAATTGTGACCTCTATATAGAGGGTCCACAACCTTGATATACCAGATGTTTACACTATTTGCGTACGAGGGGCGGCTATTTTGTCCAGCAGTGTTGGTCCAAGTTTCACGAACTTCTAACTCAACCAATATTACGGCGATATATTCGAATGGTTTACCGGATAATAATTGTGACCTCTAGAGGGACCACAAGCTAAAAACACGACTTTTCGTACAATCAGGGGCCATAATTCAGAAGGTTACGATCCGATATTCGCAAATACGTAATTTTTTCGTACAAAATTGTATCATACCTGAAATTTCCTCTACCTGAGCTTGTGAAATCTTTCCTATTGCCACCAAATAATTGAAGTAATATTCCCTTCTTGATATCATCATTTTCATAGATACTAGGTGCAATAGCTCGAGCTAGTTGTTGATATATTTCTGGCTTCTTGGCTAACCCTTTAATAATATCAATTCTATCTTGACTCATTCTTTGTACCTCTTTACTACAAATAGATATTTAAAGGAAGCATTAAGACGCAAGACCATTATGATCAATATTTTACTTGAACAAGCCAACAGATGACACATATTGATTAATTGTACATTTATCTTTTTCAAAAGTATTGAGCAATCCAAGGCGGGGGACAAAAATTGTGGACTGCTTAGTTTTCTCTTAAAGATACATTATGGGAGATTCGATAACAAGCTGGCAGTTCTCACTATAATAGTTAAAAACAAGATAATGTAAATGCAATTTACTGAAAACTTCATTCAAATTGATCCACTATGAACCAAGATTTAAGCGAATGAAAATTTCTGCCTAGACTCGGTCATCATTACAAAAGTCAGTACGATTTTACAACATAGTCTCGCTTATCCATTTAATCGTTAAATCGAGAAGGAAAGTTACGCAGTAAATCAGCTCACAATCCACTTACGATCGCAGGCTAGCGATGCCATCTAGAGTTGATTATGGTCTGGATAGGTTAATTAATGCCTAATTAAAATTTAGATAACATTTCAGGTCTAAAGAAAAACCTACAACAGACAGATTTAGCTCTTGCATAATGTATGTTTAAATTCCCACTAGTGGAAAATATTGTATCCATAAAGAACCTGGTAGACTAATATTGTACTAATTGTATTGGTTATATCTTTTTTTTTTTTTCATAGAGTTGATATCGGATAAAAATTGGGACCTCTAGAGGGCCCACAACCTTTGTATTACACACTTCTACGCAATTTGCGTACAAAGAGCGGCCATTCTGTCGGGCACTTTCATTTCGATTTTCACAAAATTTGAATTCAACCTTCATTTAAGGAATGGTGATGTTTTTATAATCAGAAAAAAATTGTGACCTCTAGAAAATCCGCAAGTGAAAAATGCGATTTTTCGAACAATCAGGGGCCATAATCCAGGAAGTTAAGTTCGGGTATTCATGATTATCAAAAGGAGCCAAGATCTTAGTGTGTAATGGTGATATACTCACATGCTTTTTTAAAACGGATAAAAATGTGATCTCTACAGGGACCACAAGCTAAAAACGTTTTTTAGGAGATAAACACCGACTGTTTAGAATTTATCGGACTGTTATTGTCCATTTGATACCGCTTAAATCATTAGATCTAATGAAAAATTTAAGCGTTATCAAATGGACAATAACAGTCCGATAAATTCTAAACAGGAGGTGTTTATCGATATTGTAGCCCAAAATATTTAACATTTTTCTTGGAATTCTTTCTTTCGCGATAGTTGACGGTCGTTTTTTGGTTTTAATGTCGTAAATACCAAGGAAAACAATTTTGACGTAATGAAAATATCCGTGACGTAATAAGATATACACTCATTTCCATTCTATTTGGTTCACTAAGCTACTGGTTAATTGTGTCTGTTTGGAAAGGGAGGTCACTCTGCAATAATTTTAAAGATTGAAACAGAAATCGTAAGTGTATTTTATGTACTTTTTAAATGATTTTGAACTCCAGCAGTGACTAGGTTCGAAACAAATTACATATCGTGTTTGATAAATGTCCATACACTCGTACGACCGTGTAGATATATGCTGTGTAGCGTACGCATGTGGTTGCTATGCTTGTTTACGTTGTCATTTCGACGCTGTGAATGTGATTGTTTTTCTTCGGAAAAAAAACATGGCCTGTGTATGAAAATTAGTCTCTGTCCTATTCATATCAGTATCAGCCCGACTTGTATATTTTTAAAAATATATTATGATCCATACAGAGTTCAATAAATTGTAGTATTTTTATTCACTTGTTGAAAATCTTCGATTTTGACCAGTCTGATTATGATAGAATGACCATAGCAACCATTATTGTCAGACCAGCCTTGAAATTAAATATACTTATTATGTTTCAAATACACTCACTAACTTTGTTTTTTGTGTTTCAGGTGTGTGTTTCAATAAGCCAATGGTTGAATTTCATTGTTGATGACATACAAGAAAAAATTCATGAAGATTTCCAAGAATAAAGTTTTGAGGTGTAGAATTTTTGGCCACTGCAAACAGAGTCTAGCACCCAGAAAATATTCATTCGCAGTGAGTCGCCCAGAAAATTTAGAGGACTGTTATACTCATTCGACACCACTTTTCGACCAATTAGAATCTAAGAAATTTCCATTTTGGGCTACAATTTTTGTTCAATCAAGGGCCATAATTCAGAAAGTTACGATCCGAAATGCGAATATTGAAAGGAACCAATATCTTTGGGTTATAACATGTATTTCAAGTTTCATCGAAATCGGATCAAAATTGTGACCTCTAGAGGGTCCACAACATTGATTTACCAGATGTTTACACTATTTAGGTACGAGGGGCAGCCATTTTGTCCGACAGTTTCGGCCAGATTTTCACAAAGTTCTTACTCAACAAACATTACGGTGTAACGTAGATATATTTGATGTTTTTTTAAATCGGATAACAATTGTGAATTCTAGAGGAACCACAAGTTTAAAACGAGATTTTTTGTACAATCAGAGGCCATAATTCAGGAAGTTACGATCCAATATGCGCGAATATTGAAATGAACCAAGATCTTTGGGTTATAAACACGTATTTCAAGTTTCATCAAAATCGGATCAAAATTGTGGCCTCATATATCAATTTTAAAACAATTGGATCAAAACATTTGGAGTTGTGGACGACGCATGGACAGGGGCGACGGCAATATACGTCCACATTTCCATGTGGGCGTATAAAAAATTCGAGCTCAACCATCATTAGGGTGTAACGAAGATATATTTAAACTTTTTTTTAAATCAGATAAAAATTATGACCTCTATAGGGTCCAGAAGCTAAAGACATGATTTTTCATACAATCAGGGGCCATAATTCAGGCAGTTATGGTCCAATATGCACGAATATTGAAAGGAACTGAGATCTGTGGGTTATAAACATACATATCAAGTTTAAACCAAATCGGATAAAATTGTGACCTCTACAGTGTTCACAAGCTAAAAACCTGATTTTTCATACAATCAGGGGCCATAATCCATGAAGTTACAATCCGATACATGCCAATATCAGGGGAATCGAAATCTTAGGGTGATAAACCTATATTTCAAGTTTCATTGAAATCGGATAAAAATTGTGACCTGTTGAGTGTTCAAAATTGTGGACGTACGAATGGACAGGGGCGACAACAATATATATCCTCAGGAAAATGTGGGCGTCTAAAAACCAAACATAGTATGTCTATGTACCAAATCCCCCCCCCCCCACTAGGTTTTCACTTCTTAATATAAAGTGAAACCTTAAAAATAAGGTACTACTTTTAGAAAGATGGGTCACTGGATCTAAAATACAGGATAATTCTTCATATTTCCCCACTGGTAATTTATTTCACAAGAGTATCTTATACCTTTCATCTCCATCATCACCAGCTTCACGCAATCTTTTATCATCTATTTTACGGAAATGAATAACATCTATGTGAGTTTTATAAACTGATTTGACATTTCTCATTCTGGGATTCACACGTAATGGTGTAGCTCTGTATATACCAGTAACTGTTACTCTATCTCCAGGTTGTACTTTATCAACCAGATCATTGTGAGCATAAACTATAACTGTATGGGGGGTTTGTCCTGGTGGCATATCATCTGCAAAATAAACAAAAACTTTCATGAATAATTATTTTTTCTTTTTTGGAGATGCAGTTCTTTGAATGATTGATGTTCTGGAAGTATTCTCTTTCATCACTACGATGTGCTTTATATATCATATTCAAAATAACCATCAAATGCCTATTAGTATTAGTGAAAATCCGAACACTAGCCTACATTTAGTTTGACATTAGGTAAATAGTTGATATGCTGAAAAATTAACCAAACAGTAACATAAACTATTACAGTTATCTCCTTATTCAATTAGATTAATTTTCACTTTTCATTTGTGATGGTGGCAAATATCTCAACATAAAACTATTTCAGTTCATTTAAATCAGACATTTAGATTAAATTGTTTTCTTAGTATAGATCACAAAACTTGAGAATGACATAAAACATCAACCAGTGGCTGCCAGGCAGGATACGCCCACATTTTGTAAGAGATGGATAGAGAACAAACTAAAAACAAAAACGATTTTTTTTGTACAATCAGGGGCCATAATCCAGAAAGTTATGGTCTGAAATGCACAAATATTCCAATTCAACCTTCATTATGGTGGAATGGTGATATATCTAAACAGTTTATAAATCGGATAAAAACTGTGGCCTCTAGGGTCCACAACCTTGATGTACCATATTTTTACACAATTTGCGTACAAGGGGCGACCATCATGTCCATCAGTTTTTGTCTGATTTTCAGGAAATTCGAACTCGACCATCATTAGTGTAGAACTGATGTATTCACACGTTTTTTTTTAATTTTCAGGAAATTCAACTCAACCATCATTAGTGTAGAACTGTGATATCTTCACACATTTTTTTTTTAAATCGGATAAAAATTGTGACCTCTATAGGGACCACAAGCTCAAAAGACAATTTTTCGTACAATCAAGGGCCATAATTCAGGAAGCTACCATTTGATATGCGCAAATATCAAAAGAAACCAAGATCTATGGGTTATAAACATGCATTTCAAGTTTCATCAAAATCGGTTTAAAATTGTGACCTCTAAAGAGTCCACAAGCTAAAGACATGATTTTTCGTACAATCAGGGGCCATAATCCATGAAATTTCGATCTGATACATGCCTATAGCGAAAGCAAAAGAAATCTTTTGGAGATAAACCTATATTTCAAGTTTCGTCAAAATTGGATAAGTATGGTGACCTGAAGAGTGTCCACAAACAATTGTGCACGACCGTCCGGACGGACAGGGGCGACGACAATATACGTCCACATGAAAATGTGGGCGTATAAAACCAAGCCCAACAGTACAAATGTACATCAATCTTTGTTACGTATGTTAAGTCCTCAAATGAAATATGGTAAATATTGCATACAAATGTTAATACAAGTCAAGATATACAATAATTATTAGTACCTGGCGATTCCTGTAATTTAATCATCTGTTTATCACTGAACTGAGATCTGTTATGTATCATAGTAAATGAATGATTAGTATTACAATGAGAACATAGTGTGGGTTCTGATATACGACCACGATCAATTTCTACTGTAGCAGTAAAAGCACAAACATTACACTGGAAAAACGCTTCCCTCATTTCAGGAATCAAGGGAGACAATCTAATCACCATTCCTCCAATTGTTATCAGACGATCAATATCTGAAAAGACATTTATATTCTGTTATTGAAGTGCTTTCTGAAAATCAAACTATAAATAAAGAAGCCAAATGAGAATGATTATAACAACTTGATATAAATTCAAGACATATGCTAAAAAAATTCAAGTCCCGGTTTCTGTTATTATTTACCTTCGGGATTCAACGATCTCATGTTCTTTGTCTTTTCAGCATTAAATGTTCGTATCTGGACCTGGTGTTCTAAAACTGTATCTGGATATCTGTCGAAGAACATTTCATTGATGGCCATGTCAAAAGCCGGAATAACTTCTTGAGGGTAATTGACCAACTGTCGATATAAATCTGCATCAAATTCTTTCAAATGAGCACTATTTATGTTCAAAAATGGTTCTCCAATAACATTAATCTGGAAAAATGTAAGGGATGCTAATATTAAGAATGTAAGTCTTGGAGTTTGTTGTTGTTTTAAAGTAGACTTTTGTAGTTCTTTCTGCAATTTTGACACTTGAAGTGAGAAGTAACCTGAACACTAGGTTATTTGAATAAATAAAAAAAAACAAGACAATTCTTACATTTACAGTATACATACATGAAATATTAAATATGGATCAGATTTAGATAGGGTCAGGAATAAACTGAACAGTACCCATGGAGATGATGTGCAAGTATAGTTGAAATGAAATGGGGTAAATGTCCTACTTTTCAACTAATAAAGTCCGGCATACTCCATGCAGACCACAATAATGGGAATTTGCATGATAGATGTGTTCTTTTCAAGCACATCAATTTGTACATGACCTCAGATTCTCATCCCTATTAACTGATAAACTGAAATATCTGCTGCACTGATGTCTATGAGTTCACCAAAGAAAAATCAGTTGTAATGAAAATATTGCGATATAAAATATATATTTACCTCATCTAACCTCTGTAAATAGTAAGGTTCACTAATATCCATTCCTTCAAACTGTTCATCATCTGCCACACTATTTCTGTCAATATATTTGGTAATGAAGCGACGAAATTTTTCTTTGCATTGACTTACAACCACATCTGTACCCCATATAACCAATTGTGGTCCAGCATTTGGGTCACTACTGATCTCACTTGTAACTCTGGTAGGTTCCTTAAATATTTGTAAGAAAGAGGGAGATAATAAATGTACGATCGGATTATATTAACTTTATACTAGTTCAATTCCTTATGAAGAGAGAAAGATAGGTTACCAGGCAACAAAATATATGCCAACAACAGCTAAATCCTCTGAGCGGTCGACACAGGTTGTTGCTTATTTATTCTTTTGTAGGTAATGGGGCACATTCACAAGTTTTTTCAACAAAGTGAAACATGGGCTATAACTCTAAAAGCTATAACCGGAAATTGCTGAAATTCAATAGACTGCTTCTATTCACCAATTTAAATGGTGAATATAAATTTCATATTAATAGGTTGATAACTTTTGTAATTCAACCATTCACAAGGTCCAACAGAGTGAAACTGAAACAAGGGCCAAAACTCTAGAAGTAATTAACGAAAACTACTGGAATTCAATCGGCTACTTTGTTTCACTAACTTAAATGATGTACAGGGATAGAACTTTATTTGAAAACACACAAGCAAAATTTTGCTTGTTGATTTCAAATGTACAAGCAAAAATAGGATTTTGAAGAAATTCAAGGCGCAATTTTTTTCTTTGATGAAAATACTTTTATCTTTGGATTACATGTACAAGTTATGTTATACATTGGAGTGTACACATATTCCTTACAATTTCATTAAAAAGCTAATGGCTAATAAAACACAACAATGAACACCCAAAACTGTCCTCAACACTAGAGCTGGGCGATATTCCTGGAAATATCGTGATATAATCACTATATTGCGACATTTTATGAAATGTCAATACTTTCAGTTTATCATCTTTTAAATGTAAATAAACATGCATAAGAAGTTGGAAATACCCCTGGAGTATTCACTGAACACTTTCTAGTCAATATTATTATTTCTAGTCAATATTATTTTTAGCACAAAGTACCAAATTTATAAACAAAATTTACAAACTTGCAAAAGTTGTTGTTAAATTCCATTTTATTTAATTTTCAAAATAGTATATTTAAATCAAAAATATTTACATATGAGGCACAAAAAATATATAAAAAAAGTTTGTGTTCTTTCGACTGGGCATATTTTTATAGCTACCCTTGAAAACTCATTTTTTTCTCATTCAAGCGTATACCTTTTTGAAGATGCATTACATAATACAAGGATAGTAAATTAAACTATAAAACATAAGTACTATGTCAAAAAGTGTCCATTGATTTAGTCAAATTGAAATAGCAATTTTTGGGATCACGGACAGCTATGCATGACACGTCCGATGCTGAATCAGTGAATGATAATTAAATCTATCTACCGCAACTCTCAAAATATATAGTTAACAATGTTGGCATTATTTGTATTTCTGCTTTATTTAAATTTATTCCAATCTGAAAATCAATGATTCCTGTGGAAAATCAAAGTATTTGTCAAGATGTATTGAAATTGAACAGAAATGGATAATGCTAACGGGTGGAAAAGTGAGCGAGAAGTCACGTGACGTATAAACAAAGCTCTGTATCGGCATTTGCAAACTTCGTGGAATGAATACTCGGGAGTTTATAACAGTATTTATTCATCATTAAGCAATAAAATATCATAAAAAACATCAAAAGGGAAACAATCTTTCAATATTTATGTTAAATATTGTTAAATTTCAGAAAGATAGGATAACTTTCGGGGTTAGAGCGTTCACAAGGTTAAACGAAGTGAAACAAGGGCCATAACTCTAGAAGTAATACCCGGAAATTGCTGAAATTCCTTCGTTTCCCTAATTTAAATATTGCATATAAATTTCACAAAGATCGGATGTTAACTTTTGGCATTAGAGCGTTCACAAGGTTCAACAAAGTGAAACAGGGGCCATAACTCTAGACGTTATAAACGGAAATTATTGAAATTGAATAGGCTTCTTCATCTCACTAATGTAAACAAAATATATCAATTTTAAAACAATTGGATAACTTTTGGCGTTAGAGCGTTCACAAGAAATTGTGGACGTATAAAAACGATCAGTTCAGGAAAAAACTGAAGAATTCCGAATATCTGACGAAGAAATCTGAATACATGACGCATGCGCATATGTCAGAAAATGCCAGATATAGAGATCGCTTTATTTACATTTTGCAAGGAAGGAAAATAATCAAAAGAATTCACGTTTTTTGTCATAATTATGGTCTTGATTTTGTGTGGAAGAAATCATGTTATTCAGTAACAATAAGCGAAAAAATGTTACACACATTTCTTTTCGTGTGACATATTTTGTAACATGCAGTCTACAAAATCAACACGCATTTTGCGTGTTTGCGCCCGTCAAATTCGATCCCTGATGATGTATATAAATTTCATACGGATCGCAAGGTTCATCAAGTAAAACAAGGGCCATAACTCTAGAAGTAATTAATAGAAATTGGTGAAATTCAATAGGCTTCTTTGTTTCACTAATGTAAACAACATATATATCAATTTCAAAACAATCGGATGATAAATGTACAGTAAACTTCGCGTAAGTCGGATCTTTGCTTAATTCAGATAAAATCATTTTTGATCCTGCACGTTTTTCTTATTAAATTTTGGCGTATAAGTCGGATTTCCTAAGTCAGGTCTTCGTTCAACTCGGATCAAAATGTTTGGTCCATTCGATCTAATTCCGGCTTTTTTCCTTCGCTTAAGTCGGATTGGCAGTATGTTCAGAATTTGACTAAGTCAGTTTCGTACCGATGGCCTAAAATGCAGTGAGATATTCTATGCATACAGAGTCCCATAGTACAAATTAAACGATTTATGGTGATTTTAAACAGTTTTTACGAATTTTTAAACAAAGATTGGATATTAAACGAATGTGAAAGAAATTAGTGCTAGATACAAAAGATTAAATAATACCTGGGTTACAGTGTAAAGAGCTGGTAGTTCTCACTATAATAGTTAACCAGCGGCTGCCAGGCAGGATACGCCCACATTTTCGAGAGATGGATAGAGAACAAGCTAACAAGAAAGTGATTTTTCCTACTATCAAGGGCCATAATTCAGGAAATTACAATTCAATATGCGCGAACATTGAAAGGAACTGAGATCTTTGTGTAATAAACTTAAATTTCAAGTTTCAACAAAATCGGATAAAAATTGTGACGTCTATAGGGTCCACAACCTTGATATACTGTATTTTTACGCTATTTGAGAATCAATTTGGGGTTGATTTTCATGGAATTTGAATTCAGTCGTCCTTAGGTGTAACAGTGATATAATAATACAGTTTTTTTAAATTGGATAAAAATTATGACCTCTATAGGGTCCACAAGGTAAAAACGCGATTTTTAGTACAATCAGGGGCCATAATTCAGGAAGTTACAATCCGATATGCCCGAATATCGAAAGGAACCGAGATCTTTGGGTTATAAACTTACATTTCAAGATCCAACAAAATCGGATAAAAATTGTGACCTATATAGGGTCCCCAACCTTGAAATACCAAATTTTAACGCTATTTGAGAACGAAGGGCAGCCATTTTGTCTGTCAATTTTGGGCCGATTTTCACGAAATTTAAAGTCAGTCGTCCTTAGGGTGTAACGGTGATATAATAATACGTTTTTTTAAATCGGATAAAAATTATGACCTCTATAGGGTCCACAAGCTAAAAACGCGATTTTTCGTACAATCACGGGCCATAATTCAGGAAGTTACGGTCCGATATGCGCGAATATCGAAAGGAACCGAGATCTTTGGGTTATAAACTTTAATTTCAATTTTCAACAAAATCGGATAAAAATTGTGACCTCTATGGGGTTCACTACCTTGATATACCATATTTTTATGCTATTTGAGAACGAACGGCGGCCATTTTGTCTGTCAATTTTGGGCCGATTTTCACAAAATTCGAACTCAGTCGGCCTTAGGGTGTAACGGTGATATAATAATATGTGTTTTTAAATCGGATAAAAATTCAGGAAGTTATGGTCCGATATGCACGAATATCGAAAGGAACTGAGATCTTTGGGTTATAAACTTACATTTCAAGTTTCAACAAAATCGGATAAAAATTGTGACCTCTATAGGTTCCACAAGATAAAAACGTGATTTTTCGTACAAACAGGGGCCATAATCCATGAAGTTTCGATCCGATACATGCCAATATCGAAAGCAGCCAAGATCTTTTGGAGATAAACCTATATTTCAAGTTTCGTCAAAATCGGATAAGAATTGTGACCTATGAAGCAAGATTTTAGCGATTGAATTTTCGGCCTAGACTCGATCATCATTACTAAAGTCGGTAGTATAAAAAACATAATCTCGATTATCCATTTCTTGATTAAATTATGAATGGAAGTCGAACAGCAAATCGGAACCTAATCCAACAAGCCAACAGTGAGGCTGATGTCCCCCGCCGAAATCCCCAAATAAATAGATGACACATATTAATTAATTAATCGCACATCTATTTTTTTCAAAAGTATCAAGCAATCAAACTGATTATAAACTATACACTAAGTTTCATCACTCTCTATCAGATAGAATCAAAGTTATCTTGTCCCAAAGCATCGACCAAGGAAATTGCTTATCTCTGCTTATAGCTTTAGCTTGATATGTTAATCATTGAACTAAGTCAAGACGAACATCTACCTCAATTAGAAGAAGAGTTGTTATGTTCCAAAGTCTTTACCAATCAAAATGCTTATTGCTCCATAGCCTAACAGAAAATTCTCATCATCGAACTTAGTCAAGGTATTGATGTAATGAAACTATACACCAAGTTTCATCACTCTGACTTAATTAGAACTAAAGTTATCATGTCCCAAAGCATCAACCAATCAAATTGCTTATCTCTGCTTACCCTAAGCAGAAAATGCTCATCCTCACACTCCATCAAGGCACTGACATAATAAACACCTACACCAAGTTTGAACATTCAAGCTCAATTAGAAGGAGAGTATTGTGTTCCAACGTCTCAGCCAATCAAATTGCTTATCGCTCTGCTTACTCTGAGCAGAAAATGTTCATTATCGAACTTAGTCAAGGTATTGATGTAATGAAACTATACACCAAGTTTCATCACTCTCACGTAATTAGAACAAGGCACTGACCTAATAAACACATACACCAAGTTTGAACATTCTAGCTCAATTAAAAGTTATCGTGTCCCAAAGCATCAACCAATCAAATTGCTTATCTCTGCTTACCCTAAGCGGAAAATGCTCATCTTCGAACTCCATCAAGGCATTGACCTAATCAACACATACACCAAGTTTGAACATTCTAGCCCAATTAGGAAGAGAGTTATCGTGTCCCAAAGCATCAACCAATCAAATTGCTTATCTCTGCTTACCCTAAGCGGAAAATGCTCATCTTCGAACTCCATCAAGGCATTGACCTAATAAACACATACACCAAGTTTGAACATTCTAGCTCAATTAGGAAGAGAGTTATTGTGTCTCAAAAAGTGTGACGGACAGACAGACGGACGGACAGACAGACGGACGAACCCATTTTAATAGTCCCCTGCTTTCTTCGAAAGGCGGGGGACAATAAACATTGCAGGCTGGCGATGCCATCAAGAGTTGATTATGGTCTGAACAAGTTAATTAATGTCTAATTAATCCTTTAGTTAACATTTCAGGCCTAAAGAAAGACCTGTAATAGGCAGATTTAGCTCTTGCATAATGTATGTTTAATTATTATCTGGCTCTTGCAGTTTATTTCTAATCGAGTAAAGATTGAATTTTGGTCTTTGGCTAACTCGGATCTTCGCTTTACTTGGATAAAATTGACAAGTCCACTTAGATCCGACTTATGCGAAGTTTACTGTAGTTTGTAGGGTGTTCATAAGACGGGGCGACGGCAATATACGACCACATTTCCATGTAGGTGTATAAATATGTGTCCAGTTTTATAAATGGCAAGAAATCTGATACTAACAGAAGGGTCAGATCCACCAATGGCTACTTGTTTCATCTTTTTGGTTGATCTAATATCTGGTCTCTGCCTGATGGGTGTAGCACCAATACCAGGTGTTCTTGGTGTATGTGGTCCTCTAGAACTTGGTGTTCCATAATTCAAGGGGGAACTTAAGTCAATTTCACTTGTAGGAACTAAAAGAAAGTGACATTGTAAACTAACAGTAAGTTTAATTTATTGATAAGTAGTCCATAAGAGCGATATATCTTTGCACAAATTCATTTCTGTTGCATATCTTAAGATACCGTTATGTCCATCTTAAACTTAAACACTGCATTAATAACTTAAGACTCTAGAGAGCACACTTGATTTTTCAAAATAATCAAGGGTCACAGCACTGACTAATTTTCGTAAATTGATGAAAATCAAGACTTTTGTCTTGTGACCTTAACACTGTCTGACTTTTTGTGTAAGATAGAAGAACCAAAATGAAATGCAAGATAATAATTTCAAATGCAGCTATGTTATATTTGTAAGGCAAGAAAATCTCAACCTACTTCCACCTTTGGGACTTGAAAATAATGATTCTTCTCTGACACCTGAAGGTGGAGATGAGGGCATGGGAGCAAGTTCACTTCCAGGAGATGCATCAACTCTTCTCTTCTTGGTACTTCCCTTTGAAGAAGCTTAAAATAGAAATAAATGAATAGGTAGGTTTGCATGTGTTTTTTTTTAAAATTTCATAAGAACAATGTTCTATTTCAGTATATGTTTCTAGGACATCTTATTCCGATAACCGGGGGGGGGGGGTCGATAGCCAAATATTTAGCATGTGCTTGTTGTATCTTAAGGTCTGTCATTGAGTCAACTGGTGTGGTTTCCATTCCCCGGTTGTATGTGACAAGGAGTAGTGTCACCTGTCCAACCGTATTGGTTTTTTCCGGGTCCTGATTTCCTCCTACTGCTAAAGACCCCCACGTGCAAGTGAATTATTGAAATTAAATTAAACCATATGTTAGTCCCGAAATTCCCTAGTTTGTGTCAAGTGGACATTAAACCCCATTTCTCTTTCTCTATTCTGATAATAGATTTTTAAAGATTAATTGATAGAAAATCAGTACTGCTATCCACCACATTTTACAAAGATAGGTTGCCAGACATCAAACATACGCCCACAGCAGCTAAATCAGCCAGGAAGTCAACAAGAGTTGTTTCATATTTTTAATTTTTTGGGTAATGAAACATTTATAATACACTAAAATCTGCTTAAGAGTAACAACTCATTAAATAATTATCAGAAAATCATTAGAATTTGTTTGGCCCATGGTAATGTTCAGTATACAAAACATTTAATATCATGGATTTAGCCGTTTTATTTATCAAAAATTATTGGAAATCAATATACTTGTTCGTCTCAAGACCTTAAACTCTGTGTATCAATCTAAAGTCAATCGGATAATAACTTTAGCCTCTAGAGCACCTACAAGCAATTGTGGACATCGGACAGACGAACGGGGACGACGACAATATACAACCACATTTTAATGTGGGAGTAGAATAAAAATGTACTAGTACATCTAATACTTCACTTTGGTCAAACCTATCAATTATTTGATACCAATTCACAATACCTACCATGAATAAAAATCATGAAATATGAATTTACTTTGCAAAGTTTTCACGCGTCTTCAAAAATGACTAGTACTATAGTGAAAATATTGAAATTCCTTTCTCACATTCCTACTAATTTCCGCTAAAAATTGTATGTATAAAATACCCTTTTGACCAAATTGTTTTCTTTTGTCAAGTTGTTATGTAAATTATACATAAACTTTATTTTTTGACATTGTTCTGAATTTTTTTCAGTGTTTAAATTTTCATTGGAGACAAAACGGGTAACATTGAATTGTTACGGTGCAGGCTTTGTGCCAAAATTATCTGGGAGTCAAAGATTGATACTGAAATTAATATTGAAACAGTATCTTTATTTTCTATGTATTAATTATCAATAAATGGCTTCATCTACTGCTCCTCTATTTTGAGTTGAAAAGTGTTATTTTTGCAGGAACGATTTTTAGCTGTTGTAATTTTAGAAGATTTTTTTATGGCTCCTCTATTTTTTTCAAACGTGAAGCACTGCAACAGTTATTAGAGAAATCTATAACGATTGATTTTTCTTTTGTATACAGTTTGGGAGGGCAATTTGTATTTGTAACAGTATAAAATTAGAAAACCGAAATTAACTGACTTCAACTTCCGCTAAAAACAAACACATCCGAATTATCTTAATGTCATTCTCATAGATGTAACTTACGGGTCGTTGTTGCAGATCGTGAACTTCTTCTTGAAGCTGAAAATAGACACAAAACCAATTCTTAACATTTAATCAAATTGAAGCCAAATGATGACCAATTTCATGAAAAAGTCCAAAAGGGGTATGCCAGTTGGGCTAATGAAGACAGGCATACGCCATACAGTGTGTTATGAGGGAAATTTTGACCGGGCAGCGGCGCTACGGTCTACTCTTACATTGAATTCCAACTGCCATGGGATCTTTTACGTGCACGGGACCTCGGTTTTTCATCTCATTCGAATGACTAGACAGCTGTCCTTGTCAGGCGCTCCGTCTAGCATCACTGACAAGTAAGGCTGGGAATCGATATGAAATTTCAATATCGATTATCGGCAAGAATTTGTCAGCGATTATCGATATAATCGATTATCAATCATTCTTCCGGAAAAACCGAACTATACCGACCTGTTATTTGTGTTGATCGAGTTACAGTAGTGTTATTTTCCTAGTCTAATACTGTGCCGAAGTACGTAAAAAAATCAATTAATGTAAAATAATTAGTTGTTAAATGTAGGATTTGTTCTTGATTCATTTGAACCTTTTTTTTATTCCAATATCGCCGATAAATACAAAGACAATACATGGTTTCTCTTTGCAAGTTACTGGCGATCACACAGTGTTACTAATAATAGAATAAAATATAATAGAAGGCGTCTATTGATTGGACAATAAAAAAATAATTACCAGCTTTCAAAGTAGAATTTTTATGATTGGTTAATTTTGACGAAAACCAAAGTAGAATTCTTCCAAGAAATTACGAGAGAAAAAGATATTTTCCCGGGAAGTCAAAAACGTGTTTTGTATGGGCTGTATCTGACATGATTTAGTAATAATACATGCATTAGTGCCATTAGTAACTAAATTAAGTTTGCTGTATCTGACATGATTTAGAAATAAAAGCTGAGTTGATCATTAATAATACAATTACTTTTATCGTGAAAGCAGACAATTTCTCTACAAATCAATCAAGAGCAAAGAAGGGAGATAATTCAAATTTTACTATATCACGTGCGATCGTCATTGTTCACAAAGTGCGTGACCTATTTTAGTTTCAACTAGTAATAACAACAAAAACAACGAAAATATTAAAATAATGTATTTAAACTTAAAGTTTAGTTTTTTTTAAAATAATATATATTCAAAATGTGCCAGTTTGTAAGCAGAGGGGGAAAATAGTTGTTGTGTTGACGTTGTGTATTCGTTCATTTGTCTGCATGCCAGACTACAGCAAGTTCAGTCATGTGAAAGTGACCATAACTTGCCGTCAGAAGGTAAATATACCGATAATCGATATTTGAATTTCAATATCGAGTAGCGTATCGCTAAATAACTTCTACCGATTATCGATTATATCGATATTTTTTGCACAGCCTTACTGACAAGGGGGAAACCACGCCAGAAAATCTGGATGAACTTTCTCGGTCAATGCAGGGATCGAACACTCGACCTCCAGGCTAGAGAGCCAGCGTCTTACCCACGTGATCCCCGAGTAAGATAACCTTTATAGGTCACAAACACTGGTTGATAAACGAAAGATGTTTCACTACATTGGGCTGGGTATGTTTAATTAGTTCTTATAGTATAAAATTAACTTATTTTTAAAATTTTACATGCATTAGTGCCATTAGTAACTAAATTAAGTTTGCCAGGTGAAACTATGAGCATCCAATCGTAGCTAAAAACAAGCAGATCAGTCAACATTTTAATGCTAAGGTAAGGGCAGGCGAGCGTATTGTTTTGATGAATGCGCCGATTAAAATAAGCCAGCGTTTTTTAAGACCAATCTGCTAGTAAATTACGTCGATCATGAGACTTGTTCTAAATGGCGAATCGCCGAAACTGTAAAAGTGCCTAGAAGGGCTCATTGGACAAATCGCAACTTGTGGTACTGGAGTTAGAATCCATGCTTCGGCAGTGGCGGCAGACATTTTGAAATGAAATAAAATGAAATGGAGTTTCAGGGCTCTATAAAAGTTGAGTGTGCCTGCGCACACACTTGAAAATGTGCCTGCAGGGTCATACTGAAACACAGGGATGTAGCCAGGATTTGGTGAGTGGTGTAAAAATATATGCGGCGAGCGGAGCGAGGCAAAACAATTTTTGGGAGGGGGCGTGGTCTTTTATGAAAATTAAACCCTTCTTGGTGTATTTTCAGAGCATCTTCTGCCTTTTGTATTTGGTTCAGTGCAAATCAAATTTCCATTTATATATTCAAATTTTACCAAATTCACTTAATTTTCATCAATGATACAGGGATCTAAAAACTTTTTGACACCACCCGACCGAGCATAAAATTGTCCCGCCCCACTCTGTTTCTCTGGATAGATAATAATAATAATAACAGTTTATTCACAACTACATGTACAAGCATGAGTATGGAAGTTACAATAGATAAGTTGAGGACCTTTCGGTATTTGTTGTTTTTTTTCTTCAAATATTACTTTATTACTTTGAGATTAAAAATTAAAACGATTCTTAAAACGGTGTTTGTGTTTTATTTGAGTACAACGAATTATGACAACAGGTAGATATTGATAATTAAAACATGTATTATTTGACTCGTTTGTAAAGTTGTTGTACGTGTCTCACGAATATTATTATTATTACGGTGGAATGAGAATCAGGTCAGGCAGAAACTGAGAAAGCTCTCATCGTCCTCCTAGTCCTACTCTCGGGCCATAGCAAATCCACGGTCAACACAGGTAAAAAATAAAATAAGAAACATCCTGAAAATTTGAAGGCATGTGTTGGACAATTACGACATTCAAACCTACGGCCTACTCTTATATCGAATTCCAACTGCCAACAGTGCCAAGGGATCTTTTACGTGCACGCCAACGTGTACACGGGACCTCTGTTTTTCGTCCCATCCGGACGACCAGACAGCTTTCCTTGTCAGCCCCTCCGTCCTGCATCTCTGACAAGGGAGAACCACGCCGGAAAATCTGGATGAACTTTCTCGGCCAATGCAGGGATCGAACACCCGACCTCCAGGCTAGCGAGCTAGCATTTTACCCACTTAGCCACATGATCCCCCAGACATTTTGAGATCATGTGATATTAATCATGTCTCCGACTGGCTAATAAGAATGGATGGCCTGACAATATACGCTGGACACAGGCACACAAGCAAATTTGATCGCCAGCAAAAATATTCGACTGAAAATATCTAACCTCTTAGATATGAGCGATCCATCGGGTGGATGTTTCGCCAAGAAGAATCGTTGTCACTGTGAAGGGGCACACAAGCTATTTTTTTTTTCAAGCAATTTGCGCGATTGGGCGAAAAATTACGCTACATTCTGGTGGTAGCTAAGTCAATTCTGTAGCGATGCTAAACGCCGCTAGGAGCGCTGGCTGTAGTATTTACAGACATCACAAAAAGTTGACCGAGAAAAGTATACGTCGTGTTACGCCTTGTCATGAATATTCAAAGTGTCAAACATTGACCACGTGATGTTTACCATCGAGAAAAATAGATGAACTTGCTGTCGAGTAGGATTTTGAGAAGCTGAGGTAAGATTTTCTGATATTTTTCATGAATTGAAAATTTGAAGTTGAGAGAAATTTTCGAAAAAGGCCCTCGACGCTCAAGATTTTGGTATATTTGGAAAGCCCAATTCATTAACTACTTAGTTTGACCATTTGTTAAGTCCGTATCCCCCGTAGGAATTCGTAAAATGGCTGAAATTGAACCATGTGGAATTAAAGGGAGGTAACTCGTGGTTGATCAGGGTTCAGACCATAATTAACCCCCCCCCCCACAGACTTCAGTGTAAAAAAAATGATGTTAGATTTGGACAGGGTTTTTTATTATATTGAATGTTACTAAAGCTACCAACCAAACTTTAGCCAGACATTTCACTAACAAAGGATAAAAATTGTGAATGTTGTTGACCACCTTGGATTTTTTTTTCAGGAACTGTAGCTGAAGAAGTAAGCTACATAATATATACTCATCCAAATCCAAACATAGCCAAAGGCGATCCCTGATATTACTTGGTACAACATAAAATAGACAAATGATGATGATATATAGGCCTACTCATACAATTTGCATGAGGACTATAAAAAGGGGGGCTTGAAACTGACTGTTTCTCAGCATTCTCAAGAAAGTCCATAATTATTATAAATTTGGTATGAATCATAGAAGTTAGTTTAATTTATTGTTTGAAATCAGTGTTAGTAATCTTATTTTTGTTATTTTAATATTTGTGATAATATTTATTTTATTTTTAACATTTTCTACCTGAAAGAAGTGGCCTGATGCGTCAAATGTTTTTGTTTATTTTGAAAAATATCGCATATGAATAATGTGATTATTTTATATTGTTATTATTGTTTGTTTTTGTAAGATACATGTATTAGAAATCTTATATTTGTTGATAAATGTGATAATGGTTTCTTTTTTTTTATCATTTATTTTAAACCGGTGGGTGAACATTTTTAATTTCATATTAAAAAGTAACAGATATGAATTTTGATCTTATTGTGATTTTGTTTTTAATATTTTTATATTTTTATGACATAGATAATGTCTCGGCAAGATGTATCACCATCTGAATGTTTATATTGTTTTTATTTTCATGGGATAATGTCTCAACAAGAAAGCTAGACTTCTACCACTGATATTATAATATAGTATATCGTAATGCACATGTATCACAAATTAATTTTTTTAATACTCTTTCATGTAGATCATATCTTACTTTTTATAAGCTTACCTTTTAATTTGGACTCTTTTAAGATATTCAAATGTTTTAATTATGTCTATTAATTATGTCTGTTTTTATTTGAAATTGTAGTGATGTTGATCACAAAAATGTAGCTGTTATATAAATCATAGTTTAATTGTTAATTTTCATTCCTGAAACAAACAATTTCAAATTGATGTACATGGCAGCTTCTAAACAACTAAAGCAGTTGGCGTGGCAAAGGCGGCAAATCTGCCAAAAGCTTACAGGTTTATTTCTCATTTTGCCACACACTTTCATGATTTTTAAAAATATCCACAGTATACGTTAGTATAACCGGTTTATAATTGTTGTATGACTGTGAATGGCCAGTGGTCAATGGCCTCGGAACCAGTAGGTGCCCAATTACATACATAAACTTGTTTCTCTTCGACATTGACATCATACAGTCAAAAATTGTGATTTAAGGTGTTGTCATGCAAAAAATAAATAACAGAACAGACTGAAAACACTTTTATGTGTGCTTATTCATTAAAAAATAAGCCTCTGTATTAATGTCAAAGCGCTACAATTTAAGTACACACAAATTTGAAAAAATTTTTGCTGTGATTTGTGCGAAATCGGCACGGATCCCAACTTTGAACCTGTGTAACATTTAAAGTATATACTAGAATATTATAGCGACAATTTGGCTTTATCAAGTACATCTAGATCTTTAATTAGTGCAATTTTCATAGACCTATCTTGTATAGTTACTGAGATATTGGCTTCGGTCACTTTTTTGCGGTTTTTAAAAAAAGCCGTTTTTTAGCGCCTCTGGTTTGCCTTCTTTAAAACGCTATAACTTTTTTAATTTTCAATATTTTTTCGAAATTTTTTCAGATTATTCATTCTAGATAGTTCACAATTGCAGTATCGTTGTCATTTTTGAGTCAATGGTTGTATCTGAAAACCCGTTGGCAATGCTAAATTCTGCTCCGATCTTGATACACTTGTTGACGTTAAAATGCTGAGATGTACGCTTTTAGGGAAATAACAAGGTTCTGGAAAAAATAACATTTAAAAATAGCTGCCGGTCGCTGGTCAGTTCCGTTGCGTTGAAATTTTACTAAGAAGACTGTAAGACAAAGTAAATTCAAAGTTCACCAACTGACCAAGTCCTCTAGTTCTCCTCTACTTACTTCGTTCTACTTAGTTTATTTAGATTCTATTTCTAATTATTCTAATACTCACGAGATTTCTGAACATCATTTTCAGTGTTTGGACTTCCAGGCTCCGAACTTCGACCGCGTTTGCTTCGTCTTCTTGGGGTAGTTGCTGGGGACGACATCGTGGAAGAGAGTTTTCAATGATTTAATCAAGACCCAGCTCAGTGTTTCCCGCGAAATAGTTGTACACAAAAAAGTCACGTGGCTGGAAAGCGCGCGAAAGGGCATATATATATTTGGGAATATTTAGTCTTTTACAAGCACCAAAAACGTAATTGTCTTTAACTATTCATAAAAATGTTATATTGTCATGATACATCTAATACATCTGAATTAGCCTAATGGTGTTATTTTTTGTATACTTTCTAATGTATTTTCGAATTAAATGCATTTAAATTAATTCAAACGATTATTTCGTTTCATTTTGTATAAATAGGTGTAAATTTTAAAATACCAATTGTAGAGACTTTGTTTTCCAGACGTGTTTCTTGGATTAACCAGACATTATTTTGAGGATTCGATAGAAAGAGACCAAAGAGATCGATGATGCAGAGCCTTTTATATAAGACTCTGGGTTGATGAGTTGATGCTATATCGCACCTACCGAAATACCAAAACTGTGCTTTATCGACCAATGCAAGAGAGGTTACCCCCCCCCCTCCTCACACATACACTTTTTTTAAGCCCCCCCCCCCCAAAAAAAAAGAATAATTTAAATGAGAAAGTTGTTATTATTACATCCTTAGGTATCTATCCATTTTCGGCATATGATTATCTTAATTTTTTGTTGATACTGTAAGAGCAAAATGTGTAACAATAAGTTACAGAACATGTTATTCAACATTGCTACAACAAGGTCGAGACTGATTTTAAAAAAATATCTACAAGTTCAATGGAAAAGAGAAATTTGTAAGACATCTATGCTTTACTCGGAAGGGAATCTGCAAAATATTGAATCAGAAACAGGAAAAAGAATTCCAAGACGTATTTTAAAAAGAATAGAAGCACGGGGATTAACTGAAGATGATGTTATTCAAGGCAGTCATCAACCTGTTAATAAAGGTACCGGTATTTTAATGGGATCCAGTGATAATTTGAAAGTGTTAGTTGACGACATGGTAAAAGAAGGAGTTACTGGTACACATAATGAATCTGAGTTTCCATCTGACAAGATTGATTACACTGAGATAAAGAAGACTAGAGATCAGACAATTACTGCTTTCAGACCAAAGACTAATCCTCTGGATACTAGTTTGATATTATTTCCCGGCCAGGGAAGTCAGTTTGTTGGAATGGGAAAAAAGCTACTGGCTTACAATGGTGTGAAAGATTTATTCGAAATGGCAAGTGATGTGTTGGAGTATGATCTTTTAGATATTTGTTTGAATGGACCAAAGTCGCAACTGGATAAAACAGTTGTATGTCAGCCAGCAGTGTTTGTGACATCCATGGCAGCAGTAGAAAAATTACATGAATTACATCCACAGGTACAAAAAATACACACATTATTTGAATAAAAAATAAAATATGTAGACGTGATGTAAAAGTCCAAATCAATTGAAATGTTGAAGTAGGATGTTGCTGTAGAGGGTTGAATTTACAGAGAACATATCTTATATTCTAGCATTATATAAGGTCCACTGTTTTTTATCATCAGTTTTTTCTCTGAACCTTTGAAGATTTTGAGAATTTTTGTACATATTTTGTGAGGGGAATCCATTTGAAAATTTCTTTAAAAAATGATAAAAACAGGGCCTTGTTCTGTCTTCCCCTTGCCATAAGTTCTAAAAATAGTCATAAATCAAGGAAAAGAGTCAAAACATTTACAACTACCTCCTTGTACAAGTGTATATGTACATGTTTTTAAATATTAATAGATTGTAAACAGGCATCGTGGCCATGAAACGGTACTGTCATGATTAAAATATTTGCTTAATATATTGCATAAAACTTATATAAAATTAACTTGTTTTCGTTAATTCATAATTTTTCAGGTGATGAAGAATTGTACAGGGACAGCTGGGTTTAGTGTTGGTGAATATTCATCTCTTGTTTTTAGTGGAATGTTAACATTTAGAGATGGTAAGAAGAATAATACAACATAAGACTGTATTCATATTGGGATTATTATCCGTATTTAACTTTAGTTACCAATGCACTTAGTATAGATGTGAATGCAAATACTTTGGTCCAGATAGAAAGTATATGTATGATCTTCCTTGATCTGAGTTTGGGTAAAAAGTCTAAGAAAGTCAGATATGTTATTGCTCTTGAGATACTTCATATACATCAAAAATAGCCTGTAAAAACGTTAGAGTCAACATATTTCATCTGATTCTAATATTATTTTATATTCATGAATAATTATTCTACAGTTTTCATCTAAATTTAATGAAACTCCATTGCTAGGTGGCTTGTTATTAATTATTTCTGAAATTGTAGCCTTTCCAATGATTAAATTATCTCTTGTTATGTTTAAATATATGTAGTTTCTTTTACAGAGAAAAACTAATGGGCCTACTGTCTTTTCTGAACCGTTCAAATGGACATACATGCGAAAAACTAATAATACTGCCTTTTCTAAAACATTCAAATGGGCGGACATGTGTCATTGTGGACACTCTTTTTGAATTTGAGGGGATTTTTGACCAGCAGTCAAGTCAAGGAGAATTACTTTCATTACATAAAAGAATAATATTATCTTCCCTTAAATGAACCACAATGAGAATTGTATAAAACAATAGCTACTAATGACAACAACAGCCACCAAGCACATGGGCACTACATTGTTTGTAGTCTGAATTGCAACTCTTCCTGCCAAGATACTCTTGGCTGTAGACTATCAGATTCCAGACCAAACAGAGTGGAGGTTGTAATATACATTTCCTTTTATTGGTAACTTTTGATGTTTCACAAGATTCAAGTGAACCGATAATAATATGTATCTCTAATTTCTATGAACCTCTTTCAGCTGTAAGGGTAGTTAAGGTGCGAGCAGAAGCCATGCAGAGAGCATCAGAGATTATACCAAGTGGAATGATGACAGTTTTTGTAGGACACAATAGTAAACTGAATTTTGCAATGCTAGCAGCTAGAGAATACTGTTCTCAAAAACTACATATTCGAGAACCAGTTTGTTGCATAGCTAATTATCTATATTCCGATTGTAAAGTAATTGCTGGTAATGAAGAGGTAGGTTTGAGTACATCCATGCTAAAATTAAGATCACACTAGTGTACAATATTTTGGACCTGAATTTGGGCACAAATTATGATTTTTATACGCCCACATTTTCATGTGGGTGGATGTATTATGTTGTCGCCCCTGCCCGTCCAGATGTCTGTCCACAATTTGTTTGTGGACACTCTGCAGGTCACAATTTTTATCCGATTTTGATGAAACTTGAAATACAGGTTTATCTCAAAGATCTTGGTTCCTTTCGATATTGGCATGTATCAGATCAAAACTTCATGGATTATGGCTGGCATGTATCAGATCAAAACATAATGGATTATGGCTCCTGATTGTACGAAAAATCATGGTTTTAGCTTGTGGGCACTCTAAGAGGTCACAATTTTTATTATACACTCACATATTGTTGTAGCCCCCGTCCGTCCGATTGACTTTAAATTTATACACAGTGTTTAAGGTCATGAGACGAAGAAACCTAGCGATTTTCACTTATTTCTGATAATTACTGCCAGAGTTATGGCCCTTGATCACTTTGAACAATCTTGTAGACTCTCTCGAGGCTAAAGTTAATATCTGATTTACTTTAAATTTATACACAATGTTTAAGGTCACGAGACGAAGAAGCCTATTGATTTTCACTGATTTCTGATAATTACTGCAGAGTTATGGCCCTTGATCACTTTGAAAAATCTTGTGGACGCTCCCGAGGCTAAAGTTAATATCCGATTGGTCCATCTAGAGGTCACAATTTTTATCTGACTTAAAAAAAAACAACGTTGAATTATATTACTGTTACACCGTAATGACAACTGAGTTCGTGTTTAAGGTCACGAGACGAAGAAACCTATTGATTTTCACTGATTTCTGATAATTACTGTAGAGTTATGGCCCTTGATCACTTTGAAAAATCTTGTGGACGCTCCCGAGGCTAAAGTTAATATCCAATTGGTCCATCTAGAGGTCACAATTTTTATCTGACTTAAAAAAAAAAACAACGTTGAATTATATTACTGTTACACTCGTAATGACAACTCAGTTCGTATTTCGTGAAGATCGGACCAAAACTACTGGACAAAATGGCCGCTCTACGTGGCAAATAGTGTAAAAGTATGTAATATCAAGGTTGTGGATCCTCTAGAGGTCTCAATTTTCATCCGATTTTAATGAAACTTGAAATGTATGTTTATAACCCAAAGATCTTGGTTCCTTTCGATATTCGTGCATATCGAATTGTAACTTCCTGGATTATGGTGCCTGATTATATCACCGTTACACCATAATGACGGTTGTGTATGAATTTTGTGAAAATCTGACTTAAACTGCCGAATAAAATGGCCTGTAACTTCCTGGATTATGGCCCCTGGTTGTACGAAAAATAGCTTCCCTTTTTTTGAGCATGTTCTCTGTCCATCTCTTGCAAAATGTGGGCGTATCTTTCATGGCAACCACTTGTTACATTTATAGTATTAAAATAGGTCGGGGGGGGATAACCCAGACTAACAAATCAAACGTTAAACTATGTCAACAGAACTACAAGTATTATTAACCCTAGACTACAACCTGCCGTACATGCTGCTATTAAACGTGTGTGTGAGACTTGCGCATGACTTGCCTGGGTTTGGCACACTAGAAGATTGCAGACTGATCGTAGAGACTTTTGATCTGCGAGCTACCAAACCCTGCAAGTCAAAACATGTACATTGGGTTGTGAGCTAGACTTTAACTTACTGCTTCAAATAATTTGTAATACACACACATTACTCAGTGTATGGGACAATTTAAGTAGTCTTTTGATTCTAAAACTATTTTTCAGGCTCTTCAATTTATAGAGGACAACAAACAAGATTTTAATATCAAAAGAACCAAACGTCTTCCAGTTAGTGGAGCTTTTCATACTCAATTAATGGAATCCGCTTGTGAACCTGTGGTTAGGGCATTGAAAAATGTTGAAATCAAAAAACCTTTGTTTCGAGTCCATAGTAATGTAACCACCAAACGATATCACACGGATAGTGAGGTTGTTAAGTTACTTAGACAACAGATCATCAAACCTGTTAAATGGGAACAGATTTTACATACGTTATATTCAAGACCACAAGGAGAACATTTTCCAAACACATATGAAGTTGGTCCAGGCAAACAGATGGGAACTCTTCTTAAAATTGTGAACTCAAAAGCACATCAAAGTTATACAAATATTGATGTGTGATTGTTGTGTGATTGAAACAAATTGTGGTTATTAAAGGTTGAGAAGTGGCACATAGTTTACAAGAAGTCTAATAATAAACTGATAGTAATTTATGTAACTGATGATAAACAAATGTACCTATAGGTTTGTAATAAAATATATAACAAATTAAAATTCAGAGACGTTTTTCTTTATTTAACTAAAATAAATGCACAATTGTTCAAAGATCTAAAATATATAATATATATAAAACACAACAATGAAGGAATTCACGAGACAATAATTATACAGTATATTTCCATTATTTTTATATTATTTTTTAGCGAGATAAGTATCATACTGATGTAGGGTTTAAATATATATTTATTCATTAGCAATCATCGGTCAATGATAGTAGATGATGGCACTTCTTGTGGCATCATAAAAGGCAACCTTTGTAAGATCATTTACATCATTTTTGTAATATTAATTTTGTTCTACATACATTCCACCAGAAATTCAGTTTTGCATATTTATATATTCTAAAAGGAAAAATGAATCAGTTTTTTCTTAAAAGCAATGCACCCCCCCATCAAAAGTAAAAAAATTATTAAGTCACCTGCTTATAAAAAGATCTTCCATTCTGTTATCCTTATAAATTCTATACTCCCAAAGATCAGAATAATTGCTGTTGAGTTTACAAAGCTTATCTGGCCAAGCAGGTTATCACAATTTTAATGGTTTTTCAACCCAAGCATCTATTTCTATTATCTTGCAGTGAAAAGCAATTACATTTGTCCACATGAGATGCAATGAAAATGCACCACTGATTTGGTTGGCGAGACATAACCCACAAGAAAATCAACAATAACCCACAGAAAAAAAGCAACAGTGAAACCTAGGCATAAGGGTTAAGACTCACTAACAGGAATTGGTCCAACATAAAGCCACCTGCAGCGTGCAATCCTGCAGATGTTAGATAGCGTTCGCGTCTTGCTGATGTGTCGGACATTGTCGTCCAGGCATCCCAGTCTTCAACTCTTATATTATATTCATATCCTCTTGAATTAAAGTACTGACACGTTCTTAAGTATTCAACTTCAAGTGTCAACCTTGGGATATTGTTGCATCTTCCACCGAATGTTAGAGTTGTAATACCCTAGCATTTTAGAAGCCACATTTTATACCCCAGGTCTGTCTACACCATAATATCATTTGTCTGTGGTGCATTTAAACGATTGTGAAAACATAATTCACTGGACATTTTGTTTTAAAAAAAAGTAATACATATATCTTTTTTTCTAAAATAAATTACAATATATAAAATATTTTCAAGATCATAATACAACATCTATTCACACAACTTCATATAGATATCTATTATGAGAACTATGAATTACATATAATATATATTTGTATAACAACTGTACAAAACAACTTCTATCTCCAATTAAATAATTCAAACATGGAGATCCTAACATTATTAGCTTGTCTGTCTTATTAGAAATTTTATCCATTATAAATATGAATTATAATTTTTGTATTATTGTGTAATATAATTATAAATTCTTGAATTATTATAAATATAAAGATAATATAAAATTTAATCACCTATTGCTTTTTATGGTTAAATTTTATATAATAAATAAGTGTAAATAAAAGGAATGAATGCAATTAGATTAGGTTAATCCAAAGTTATTGGTTTGTCATAATGATGGAAGTGTCAAATCAATAGGTTTTCACTATAATAAAGCACTTCATGCTCCGATATATTTTGTAGGTGTAGGAAGGGTTTTGATTGATCTAAAGCTCTAATCTTATCAAAAAGTTGCAAATTTTCAATATAATATTTGATTCAAAAGACTAAGACCTCTTTGATTTTGGTAACAAATAAGATTGTCTGTTTCATTGGATTTTATATTGAACTGCTTTGTGGGTTAATAATCTATTCTCGGTCTATAGATATAACCAGTGATATGATATCACCGATTAATAAGATGTCACTGATTTTGTGTTCCATTGTTGACACAGTAAACAAGCTGACAACAAATTAGTCAGATAGAGCTTGCCCTGTCACTAATCGAAATCAACCTAAACCGAAGAGGTTTAGCTCCTTTAAATACAAACTGTAGCCTTTCTATGTATGCTGGATTGATAGTAAAGAAGCCCATTGGCAACTTTTTGTGCAGCTGTAAAGTTATTTCAATAAATTATTGAATGTTAAGGTATCATTATTGAATACATCGAACATTTATAGGTACACCGTTACATATTGAAGATAGTCGAACACACCAACTCATAATGGTTAAGTGAGTTTTACCATATGATACAAGCAATGTCTTAAAAATTAACACAAATTAAGGCAATTTTACACAATCCTACTTTTTTCAAGAACATATCCAACATTAGTAGGATGATGCTCACAGGAAATTGTCCTATCGTGTGTATGAGAACAAGCTTGAACATGTTTGATGCTGTTTGAGCATGCATATTAATTTGAACATTGTAGGACAGTATTCAAGGCCTTGAACCAATGAGAATGCATCTCTGGGCCACGTGGTGTATTGGGTCTCATGATATGAAGCAAAATGTCTGTATCCACATCTCGAAGCAAAACCATCATGTCAAAACAATCTTGAACATGTTCACTAAATGTCAATCTGATAAAAATACAGATCTATATTTCATTTCGTTTTTTTATACTTTCGATGGCCTACACTACATGAAGATCTGACAAGTTATAGCGATAGGTCACGTCAGGGGTCAAAAGACCGACTTATGACCATATGACGTCAAGACATTTGATTAACCAATCAGCATTGATGTTACTAGTGGATTACCCACAGTCCTGTGAAAAACACGCCTAAAGCTAGCCGTAACAGAACGTTTCATTGGCTTATCCCTGACACCATTCAGAACACGAGTTAAATAACAACTCTTCCAGATCCAAGTGTAGTAAAGACAAGTAAAACGAAATTTTGAACTATAAAAACGAAACGAAATAGGATTTGTGTTTTAACCAGATTGACTAAATGTTGTATGGTGTAAACTGACATGTTCGTGGACACCTCATGACCTTGAACATCATCCTACAAATGTTGGATGATGTTCTTCAACAAAAGTAGGATCGTGTAAGATGACCTTTAAACAATTATACCTTTAAATTGTCAAAAAGGTAATCATAATGTAAATAAATCAAGTACAATGTTCAAACAATATTTCGGAATATTTCACAAATACAAATATCAACAAAGAGATAAATACGGTAAAAAATAACAAAGTAAATACAATAAAATCAGCACCTTGTTTACATGTCCTATACTGGATTCGATATTAATAATAATAAATATTTTAGCGCAACTATATTTAATCTAAAACATAATATACACAATTAAATAATAATAATGATGTCACTGTGGAGGATTTAAACTACTACCAACTACTACGAAAAATAACAAAAGACAATGTAGAATTATGTGATAAGAAAGCTATTTCATTGGATAGTTTACTTATGCTATAAGGTTGTAAGATTTGTTCACAATTAACATGTAAGTTACATTCAACTGTGTATAAAATACACTTGATTTGTAGAAACAAGTTATGAAGTAATTGTATATAGTAAAGTATTTATTTTATAGTTAAAAGCAGATTAATTTGTGTACATTCTAAATTGTGGGTTTAACTCCAAAAGACAGCTGTTTTTTGTTATTTTTTTTTTAAATCCCAGGTTTTCTTAAATCATGACTTTTGACTGTCACTGTTTTACGATCCGAATAATTGGCACATCCATTAATTCTGGTGTCAATGCCAATTTCAACCTGCTTTAGATCTAGTGCTCCAAGACCTAATTTAGGCCTAAATTATGAACATGAATTCATATTAGAATAATGAAAATAGTTAGTGAATGATCAAGTTATGCTATATGGAAGGTTTATACAACTATTCTGTTCGACTAGATTACATACATGCCATATCTGTAACAAGGCCCTTGATTCATCCCTTCAGTCATACTTTAACTGAAGAAATATATCAGTTTGTTAGTCAAAATGTCCTTGGAAATATTTCATTGCTCAAAGAGATCAATTATAACTGTAGGATGACAACAATACAAGATCATACAACTCAATGAATAAAAGAAGCAAAAAACACTGAGAATACAAAATTTTGAAACAAGAGCCATGTCCTAACCTGAACATACTTATTTTGAAATGGTCAATTGTTCTAATAATAATGATCTGTTCGGTCCCATTGAGATACTGAACATTATGGTAAGTAGTCATTCAAATTAAAATAAACAGGTAATGTTTTACTTAATAATACAATACATGATCAATGATTATGCTATGTTTTGAGGAAGAGCCTTGGGTTGGTGATGCTTGCTATCTGTAGAGTTCAATCAGATGATTCCTTATAAACGAGGATAAGGGTGGAGACAAATCATGCCAGCAGTCCAAGACGACTCACTTTAGCGGAGAGAAAGGTGTGTAGTATAAAGACTAATGGTTTTGGACATGTGTTGAGATCTAATTCCTGCAAATAAATGTAAATTTTTATGTAAGATAAGATCTAATAGTAATGTATTAATTCTATGAATAGGACGCCATCTTCTGTGTCATTCCGTTTCACCCGGTTGGGGAGTGGGGCCACTCACCCTTCCTTTAAGACCAAGCAACTAAATTCTAAATGTATATAGACGACTCGAAAATATTCTACATTTTGATGGGAGTCCTTAAGCCCTTAATAATAATCCCGGAGAACAGACACAAAAGACAACAACAAACATGATAATATTTAATACAAGTGCACAAAATACTAATTTTATACTTAGTCAAGGAGTTTTTACTTTTTTCTACTTAACCAGCGGCTGCCAGACAGGATACGCCCACATTACAATTCAATATGCGCGAATATCGAAAGGAACCGAGATCTTTGGGTTATAAACTTACATTTCAAGTTTCAACAAAATCGGATAAAAATTGTGACCTCTATAGGGTCCACAACCTTGATATACCATATTTTTACGCTATTTGAGAACGAACAGCGGCCATTTTGTCTGTCAATTTTGGGCTGATTTTCACGAAATTCAAACTCAGCCGTCCTTAGGGTGTAACAGTGATATAATAATGTTTTTTTTAAATCGGATAAAAATTATGACCTCAATAGGGTCCACAAGCTAAAAACGCGATTTTTCGTTCATTCGGGGGCCATAATTCAGGAAGTCAGGTCCGATAAGCGCGAATATCAAAAGGAACCAAGATCTTTGGGTTATAAACTTACATTTCAAGTTTCAACAAAATCGGATAAAAATTGTGACCTCTATAGGGTCCACAACCTTGATATACCATATATTTACGCTATTTGAGAATGAACGGCGGCCATTTTGTCTGTCAATTTTGGGACGATTTTCACGAAATTCGAACTCAGTCGTCCTTAGGGTGTAACGGTGATATAATAATATGTGTTTTTAAATCGGATAAAAATTATGACTTCTATAGGGTCCACAAGCTAAAAACGTGATTTTTCGTACAATCAGGGGTCATAATTCAGGAAGTTATGGTCCGATATGTGCGAATATCGAAAGGAACCGAGATCTTTGGGTTATAAACTTACATTTCAAGTTTCAACAAAATCGGATAAAAATTGTGACCTCTATAGGGTCCACAACCTTGATATACCATATATTTACGCTATTTGAGAACGAACAGCGGCCATTTTGTCTGTCAATTTTGGGCCGATTTTCACGAAATTCGAACTCAGTCGGCCTTAGGGTGTAACGGTGATATAATAATACGTTTTTTTAAATCGGATAAAAATTATGACTTCTATAGGGTCCACAAGCTAAAAACGTGATTTTTCGTACAATCAGGGCCATAATTCAGGAAGTTATGGTCCGATATGTGCGAATATCGAAAGGAACCGAGATCTTTGGGTTATAAACTTACATTTCAAGTTTCAACAAAATCGGATAAAAATTGTGACCTCTATAGGGTCCACAAGCTAAAAACGTGATTTTTCGTACAAACAGGGGCCATAATCCATGAAGTTTCGATCCGATACATGCCAATTTCGAAAGCAGCCAAGATCTTTTGGAGATAAACCTATATTTCAAGTTTCGTCAAAATTGGATAAGAATTGTGACCTCTAGAGTGTCCACAAACAAATTGTGGACGGACGGACATCCAGACGTCCGGACGGACAGGGGCGACGGCATAATACGTCCACATGAAAATGTGGGCGTATAAAAAGAACAGAATATGGAATTAAAGTTAGTAGTGTGTTTTGAAAAAGGAGCTAACCTGTTCGCCATCATCTCCAAAGTCCAGCCATAACAACCGATGACCATCATCCGCCGACATTCTCAAACGTTCAAATGGGAAGCTCCAGTATGTTTGTATTTTTGATTCATTTTCACCTGTGCTATCTTCCACCAAACTGAACCCATCTTCATAATGAACACTTAATTTAGCTTTTTTACCTTGCCATGTGACAGCTGAAATTAATATTCATTATTTTGAATTACACACAAATGTTCTTTTCATTTTGTGACAATACAAATTTATAACATTTAAAATATGAAAGATAGATTTCCAGGCAACAAAGATATGCCACCAAGCAGCTAAAAAATGTCAAAAACATTTTACTTTAGGATTTATTCTTAAAATTATTCAAACAATCCAAAGAGAAAGACATGGGGTTTTCTGTCCATTCAACATTAAGCATATCAGTTTGGGACCAATATATGTATATCCTTTAATTCCTTTTTTGAATTGTTTGGTTGTTTTAAGTCTTAGAAGTAGGAAGAACTTCCACAAGGTTGGGCCCTACTCCTCATCAAACACAAACCTGGGATTGAAACCAGTATTCTGGACTCAATGACCGATTTTCTGATCGATCAACAGCGCGCATGTTAAACCATGCAGCCACCCAAGCCCCCTCCTACAATCCAAAGAGGTTAGAAATGGAACAATAATGCATTGTTACAAACTTGGAATATATAGGTTTTGCTTACCGGTAACAATTTCTTTTGTAATAAGTGCAGCTCCATGTGAACCTTGTACCAGTGCTCTTGACCAGAAAGCCAGATCTCTTTGAGTTTCTACTCGGAAAACATGTAGCTCTACTCCATTCCTGGTCCCTGAACGAGTACCAAAAGTCATAACTTCATGACCCTGATTTGATTGTTTCCCAGAGTGCACCAGCCTGCAAAAAAAAGAAAAAATAGAACCAGTAGACCAATTATTGAGTATAACATTTTACTGGACTGAAAATCAATGTGTTTTTGTTGAATAAACTTCAAGTTAAAAAAAAACAAAACATGATAGTATCAAAACAGAAATGGGCTTTAACATCCACTTAACACAAATTATGTCATTTTGGGACTAGAGTATTGATCAATTTTATTCCAATAATTGGCTTGCGTGTAGGGGTATTTATCACTGGGGAGGACCCAGAAAAAACTCAAGAGGTCGAACAGGCAACCCTGTAAGCTGGGAATCGAAACCATGCCACTTCACTCAATGACAGACCTTATGATCTAAAGTGTACATGTTACACAGTTCAGCCATCCAACCACCCACATGATAGTATTGAAAAAGAACGAAATTGAAACATTTGCATTTCTGAAGATTTTTGTCATACATCCAATATAAAATGTACATTAGGTCTAAACCAGACATGGGATTTAAATATCAAGGTAGAAAATAGTAGTAAGATATAATTTTTGCCCAAAATACTAATTGCCCATACCTAGTAGCTAGTAGTGAATGACTTTGAAATGGTGTTGCCCATTCTTCTTTACTACCAGGAGCTGTATCATATAATAACATATCCACGTCAGTTAATGCTATAAACACTGGTTTCCATGTTGATACACCTTGCTCATTTGTCAGCTAAAACATACAAAATAATGTAATTACTGTCTCCTTTAGCAGCTCTCAAACCACATCCTATTTTGCATATAGTGTAAAATGCAAATCAGACAGTGTATTTTTCAAAAAACCATAATCAATTCCCATTCAATGCCCTGACTTGCATATAAAACAAAATGTAGCTCAAACTATGCAGTATTTAAGAAAAATCATATAACAAGTACATGTATTTAAATGTGCTTATAATGATATGTAAATTAATTTTTGTACAGTTAATGTCGATGTGGCTTACTAATTGTCATTATTAAAAGATACATTATGGGAGATAAGATAAAGAGATGGCAGTTCTCGCTATAATAGTTAAAAACTAGATAGTGTAAAGGTAATTTGCTGAAAATTTCAGTCAAATTGATCCACTATGAGCCGAGAAAGAAGTCGGTGAAATTTTTGCATAGTCTCGGTTATTATTACTAAAATCATTAATATAAACAGCATAGTCTCGATTATCCACTTTTTCTGATTTAATTATCTTTGGCCGTTAGCAGCATATAGGAATCTAATCCAGCCTACATCGAGAGTTTATTATGGTCTGGATAAGTTAATTAATGTCTAATTGATAATTTAGATAACATTTCAGGCCTAAAGAAAGACTTGTAATAAGCAGATTTTGCTCTTGCATAATGCATGTTTAAGTTGTATTGGATATAAATGTCAGTGTAGAACCAGTGCCTCTGAGCAGCTACACTAGTTCAAGTGGGTTTGATTTGCAAATGTATCCAATTATTATTAGTAGTAGTAGTAGTTCAATTAAATACTACATGTATATCCATAGAAATTATTTCTAATAGGGTGTAATCATTGTAAATTAGTAACTTATTTTTGTACGCTTTTTATACGCTCACATTGGGCCCACTTGATATGTCCGCGGAAAGGCGAGTCGGTTTCTAAAATGGCTACCCTAGCAGATGACTGTATTGAATCAAATCAAGTGACCTGGCTGATAAACAAAATGGCATCAGATAGTATTATAATATTAAAACAGTTACAAGACATTTTTAATCAAAGAAAGTATTCTTGTAAGTGTAGAAAAATTGCTGATATTGTCTAATATGCACTTCAATCAAAATGAGTGAATGATTAATAAGTAGACATATAAAAAAGATTTATAATTTGGTAAACATTTAATTCTAGGTTGATAACAGATATCACATGCGAACTTTCTGGTGTAAGTTTCAAACGTCATTAGGCTAATTAACCAATCGTTATAATTAATTACGTCATATTTGACCAATTAGATAATTGAAGGTCCAAAACCCACAGCTACAAGACCATCATATCGCTGAGCATTCGTCAGACAGCCGCTTAATTCCAGAAGGAGAAGATGTAGCAATTCCTATCAGCAGACTCGCTGGACTGGATGGGTTTTGAGAGAATGACTTTATTGTTATCTGCTATGCTTGTATCTATGCATTCAGCTATGATGTTAAAACAAACTAATGCATTGTTATTCCTGGTAAGACAAATGTCTTAACTACTGAGATAGTAAGAAGCAAATACACAACGCGAAGAAGGAGCCAAAGATGACAAGTGAAGATACTAGACTAGATAAAAATTGTGACCTCTAGAGGGTCCACAACCTTCATATTGCATACTTTTACACAATTTGCGTACAATATGCGCAAATATCGAAAGGAACCGAGATCTTTGTGTTATAAACTTACATTTCAAGTTTCAACAAAATCGGATAAAAATTCTGACCTCTATAGGTTCCACAACCTTGATATACCATATCTTTACGCTATTTGAAAACAAACGGTGGCCATTTTGTCTGTCGGTTTTGGGCCGATTTTCACGAAATTCGAACTCAGCCGACCTTGGGGTGTAACGGTGATATAATATGGTTTTTTAAATCGGATAAAGATAGGTTGCCAGGCAACGAAACATACGCCCACAGCAGCTAAATCGTCCGGGCAGTCAACAAGAGTTGTCGCATATTTTTACTTTTTTACTTTTTTCGGTAATGAAACATTTATAATACACTAAAATCTGATTAAGAGCAACAACTCAGAAAACCATGCTAACGTTTTGTATACAAAACTTTTAATACTGTATCATGGATTTAGCTGTTCCAAGTCACAAAAATTCATTGAAAATCAATATACTTGTTCGTCTCAAGATCTTAAACTCTGTGTATAAATTTAAAGTCAATCGGATATTAACTTTGGCCTCTAGAGCGTCCACAAGATTTTTTGAAGTGATCAAGGGCCATAACTCTGGCAGTAATTATCGGAAATCGCTGAAAATCAATAGGCTTCTTCGTCTCATGACATTAAACACTGTGTATAAATTAAAAGTCAATCAGATATTAACTTTGGCCTCTAGAGCATCCACAAGATTTTTTGAAGTGATCAAGGGCCATAACTCTGGCAGTAATTATCGGAAATCGCTGAAAATCAATAGGCTTCTTCGTCTCATGGCCTTAAACACTGTATATAAATTTAAAGTCAATCGGATATTAACTTTAGCCTCTAGAGCGTCCACAAGCAATTGTAGACGCCGGACCGACGGACGGACGGAGGCGACGACAATATACGACCACATTTCAATGTGGGCGTATAAAAATTGTGACCTCTATAGGGTCCACAAGCTAAAACGAGATTTTTCGTACAATCAGGGGCCATAATTCAGGAAGTTACGGTCCGATATGCGCGAATATCGAAAGGAACTGAGATCTATGGGTTATAAACTTACATTTCAAGTTTCAACAAAATCGGATAAAAATTGTGACCTCTATAGGGTCCACAACCTTGATATACCATATTTTTATGCTATTTGAGAACGAACAGCGACCATTTTGTCTGTCAATTTTGGGTCGATTTTCACGAAATTTGATTTTTTGTACAATCAGGGGCCATAATTCAGGAAGTTACGATCTGATATGTGTGAATATCAAAAGAAACCAAGATCTCCGGGTAATAAACATGTATTTCAAGTTTCATCAAAATCGGATCAAAATTGTGACCTCTAGAGGTCAGCCATTTTGTCCGTCAATTTTGGCCCAATTTTCACGAAATTTAACCTCAACAAACAGTGATCTATTCGAACGTTTTTTAAATTCGGATAAAATTTTCGTACAATCAGGGGCTATAATCCATGAAGTTACGGTCCGATACATGCCAATATCGAAAGGAACCGAGATCTTAGGGAGGTAAACCTATATTTCAAGTTTCGTAGAAATCGGATAAAAATTGTGACCAGTAAAGTGTCCACATACAAATTGTGGACAGACGGACGTCCAGACAGAAAAACAGGGGCGACGGCATAATATGTCCACATGAAAATGTGGGCGTATAAAAACGCTTTAAAATTAGTGTTTTATGGCAATCCTAAATATGTTTGTGGGTGGCCAAGTGAGTAAGACCCTCGCTCACTAGCCTGGTACTTGTGTGTTCGATCCCAATGTTTGCAATGGAAATGCATCAGTATTTTCCAACGTGGTTTCCCCTTGTCATTGGTGCAGAACGGAGGGCCTGACATGGACAGCTGTCTAGTTATTTGAATGGGACAAAAACCAAGGTCCCACTTAAACATTGGTGTGCATGTAAAATATCTCTTGACAGTTGGAGTTCAATATAAGAGTAGGATGTCCAGGCAAAATTTCCCTCATAGTGCATGCCTGTATACATCAGCCCAGTCGGAACAGAACAGTAGGGCGTTAAACCACATTTCATTTCATTTTATATGTTTGCCATCTGGCGCTGGTGTTTGCTGCTCCTGCCAAAGCAGCGTCTTCCCACAAACCGACAGCCGAACTTTTGTCAACTTCCAGTAGATCAAGTGACCTCACTGCGGCGAATGCCAAATGTGGTCAGTCGGTATGGACAAATCAAGCATGGCCATAGAAATGTGATTGTTACCCAAATCTGTCTGCTCTAAAGGCTCAAGTTGTCATCCAATCTATTTGAAATTTCTACACAGTGTTTATGTAAATTATGAGATAAAGAAGCATGTTAATCTTCAATAATTCAAAAGAGTTATGGTCCTGGATCAATTTGAACAAGCCCTCTGCTGAAATCCCAAAATAAATAGATGACACATATTAATTAATAACACTTTTATTTTTTTTCAAAAGTATCAAGCAATCAAACTGATTATCAACTATACACTAAAGGCGTTTTTATCGACCACTGATTAGCCAAAGTGATTTGCATTCAATCAAATTTTAATCTTTAACGTCAATCTAATTCAAATTGGTTACCCTACTCAACGAATTTATCGACACCGATTTCCGAAGTGATTACATCAAATCGCCAAATCACTTCAGAGTGCATCAACCAATCAGATTACTTATCTCTGCTTACCGTAAGCAGACAATGTGTATCATCGAACTCCATCATGACATTCGCCTAATGGACGCCTTCATCAAATTTGAACATTCTATCTCAATTAGAAATGAAATGAAATGGGGTTTAACATCCTACTCCTAACTGGGCTAATGAAGATGGGCATACGCCATACGGTGTGCTATGAGGGAAATTTTGCCCGGACAGCAGTTCTACAGCCTACTCTTATATCGACTTCCAAATGCCAAGGGATCTTTTATGTGCACGCCAATTTGTACACAGGATCTCGGTATTTCATCCCATCCGAACGACTAGACAGCTGTCCTTGTCAGGCCCTCCTTCCTGCATCACTGACAAAGGGGAAACACAGCGGAAAATCTGGATGAACTTTCTCGGCCAATGCAGGGATCGAACACCTGACCTCCAGGTTAGCGAACCATCTTCTTACCCACTTAGCCACCGTAGCCACAATTAGAAGGAGAGTTATTGTGTTCCAAAGTCTCAACCAATCAAATTGCTTATCAATCTGCTTACCCTGACCAGAAAATGTTCATTATCGAACTCAGTCAAGGTATTGATGTGATAAAACTATACACCAAATTTCATCACTCTCACTTAAAGATACATTATGGGAGATTCAATAATGAGTTGGTAATTCTCACTATAATAGTTAAAAAC